GTTAGTATTTGTCAAATGCTTTTCCTAAGTAATTTTGTTATATATTTATAATGAATATATGGAATTTTTGTAGTATGGCTGTCACTTCAAGTGAAAACTAATCAGAGAGGATGCTCTCCGATTGGTTTTATTTTATTTAAATCACTCTGCAAATGTTCAAACTGGTTAAATGATTTTAGTTATTTATTAATAATTTAAAACATTACATTATTTGTATATAAACATAAAATGAGTTATCATATATCATTCATTTTGGATTACCCCAAAATGAGGTGCACTGATGTGTTCTTTATAAAGTAATAGGTATCTTTAATATAATTATCAATTTATAATACTTTTTTCAAAGTTGTCTATAAAAAATTAATTTAAACCCAGGGGAACGAAAGAATCGGCCCAGAGGAGATCGTAAATCCCAAGAGATGTCACTACACCTCCGACAGGCATTAACAGCTGCTATTAAGACTGAACTGTATCCACGCTCGCAAATAGATATTTACGTTGAAGTACTACAGGTAGTATTATATTAGTTAGCTTTAAATCATCAAAATATTTTATGTTAAAACATGCAACTAGGACTCAAGAAAGTAGTCAAAAACAATTGAAAAACCTTTTCTTTTATAAAGTTGGTCAAAAATAAATTACTGTTATATAATATTAATACCATTGTAGCAGATGGACTGTAGACTGGATTTTAAAAGCGGGCAGGTAGCAGAGTAAAACACTTTGTTTGGAGAAACTCGGAGAACGTTCGAAGCCAGAACATGTTTTATTGCGAATAATCGATTACTATGTACAATATGGTTGATCGCACTTAGCTCTTATACAAATCAGGCAATCTTATAAGATTTCTTTGAGTGGGGGTACGCTACCCCGTACCGCGCGGGGAAGGGAAGGTTTCGCTGTTTCCCCGCTGGTGTCGCGGCGTGGCTCGATATCCTTTACAACCATGCAAATGAAGTTGCAGGCAAAAGCTAGGATATCATAATTAGTGAATTCTATAGAAAAGTTTAGCTAGTCAGAAAAATTAAGCCCATGTGAATAAATATTGTTTTGTAGTGACTCGAAAATTTAAGGCAATAACTGATAATTTGACACAATGATTGCCCCCTTCAAATGCAATCTAACCTCAAAATCACAGATTCACCTAAATGTCTGACTTAATCAAAATAATACCTCAACTTTGCATTTTTGTTCCAGTTCTCATTAAGTATACTTCTCATTTGGTTCAATTAATAGTTTTATTACTAGACCCTATTATCGGAAGTGCAATTTGGTAGCTGGATGTTTTTAGAGATGGATAAATAATATTTATTTATTTATTTTATTTACATTCTTTAGGCAGATGGTGGCGCATATTGCGCAGGTGTGAATGCGGCGACGCTTGCATTAATTGACGCGGGTGTGCCATTACGCGCGTACGCAATCGCTTGCTCTGCATCAATGGCTTGGTGCTCTGGGGAACCGGAGCCATTGCTTGACGTTGGACACGTGGAAGAGGCAGCAGGTGGAGTCGTTCTCACAGTTGCCAGTTTACCCAATACAGGTATGCATCACCATTGGTTTATTCAAATTTATTAGTCACCCTGGTAGTTGTCTCACACTCAATTTAAAATATAAATATTCTTATCTGACGGCATAGTGGTTAGCGTGCTTGGACTGCGATATGGTTGGTAAGCACTTATGGTTGTAAGTGGTTGGGCCGGTCATAAATGGGTGACCAAAAATTTTTCTCGAGTTCCTCCGTGCTTTAGAAGGCACTTTAAGCTGTTGATCCCGGCTGCATCTGCATTCATTAACACCCATTAATGTGTACTGAGCCCTCGTGGTGTGTCATGGCCCATTCTTCCTATATAACTTGATTCAATTCCATCCATAGAGTAGACTTGAGCCTCAGCAGTGGGGACCTAATAATTAATAGGCTGGTGATGATGATGATTCTTATATGAAATCCACTTTGGTTCTAGGTAGCGTTGCCTTACTGGAAATGTCTCACAGATTACACATGGATTATTTCAAGGTTGTTCTGAGTAGAGCTATGCAAGGTTGCAGAGATATAGAGGTAAAATTTTTGTTTCAATAAATATACTATGTATCTGTTCTTAAACAGGCAAAGAAACTGATATAGACTCAAGTATTTTGTGAGCAGTAATACTTTCGCCTGCCCTAGGAACAGAGTATGGTGACTATGTTTTCTGTGAATAAAATTAAATTATGCATTTTTACAGATAATTTTAGACAATGCAGTAAGAGACCATTTAGCAGAAGGATGGACCAAACAAGATGTGGTTACTATATAAAATAAAAATTATTATTAAGTACTCATGTGATTTTCTCTTTAGTAAACGTAATTTATATATTGCAAAAGTAAAATATGTAAAATAAATATGTCTTAGAACTATTTTAACACATTGACTGCCCTCTATACTCCACCTACAGTAGTACAGATACAGTTTAGCCCCAACGCATACAAATTTACTGATCCCACTGGTGATACTCAAAGCATCATTCTATTATTGAGGTGCCATGGGGTGTCCCAGGTGGGTTTAGTTTACACTAAATAGGTTATTTTCAGTTCCAAATAACATTAAACAAAACTACTCCCAATTGACAAATTCACAGTAATGAATAAAATTCATTCTATTCAGTTATAAAATTAATCTATTAAAATCAAAAGATCTTTTGCCTGAGAAATTTATAAGAAAATACGATTACTTTTAATGAAAAAACATTTGATGACGTAGATAACGTTAGTCAAAATCTGAAGATGAACTTCTTATTTTAAACCCATACCATAGTTTGCTTTGACATATGACATACAGGTGCAATTTATAACATGACCGCATTTTATAAAACATTGCCCTGTACAACTTTTAGAATATAAATGTTTTAGTTGCATATAAAGTATATATTAGAGAAAAGAGACATACTTTTCTTTTTTTTTGTTATACTGAGTGAGAACGTTGATAGATAGGTATAGGCTTTCCGTTAGATGGCGTGACTGTGTCAACGCGTTTTATATTTTTCCACTTGGAAAGTTACAAAAGTAAATAACTAAAATTTAACTTTGACTTTCACTACCAACATACAAAAAGAAGAGTTCATTAAATACTAAAAAATTAAGTAAACAGAGAAGCACTGGATTATCGTTATCATTGCGTTAGTCATGAAACACCGTTGGTTAAATTAGAGCATTATAGTGTGACGAAAAATTCGCTTAATCTAATAAAATCATATGTTTCTGCTAGAATTCAAAAAGTTACTACTTTTAACTTTTAATGAAACGAAATCAGCAGGGGCACCCATTACTATGGGCGTACCTCAGGGATCGGTATTAGGACCATTGCTTTCTCTAACTTACATTAATGATCTTCCTCACTTAACAAAGAATTTGTGTGAGACAGTATTATTTGCTGATGAAACCTCGTTAGTGTTTAAAGTTAAGAGGGGTAATGATTGTTTTGACGATGTAAGTGATGCTCTCGACAAAGTTCTACAGTGGTGTGATAATAATAATTTAAAGCTTGATTCCTTCACAAAAAAAAAGTAGTGTTCATAATTTTAACACAAGAAATAAAAATAAACTTGCCGTTCCAAGCTTCAGACTTCAGAAAACCAGAGGATCATTTCTGGGTAAATGCATTGCTATGTTCAATAAAGTTCCACAAAATGTTATTGACCTACCCATAAATAAATTTAAAATTCATGTATAGAACATACTTATGAGTAAAGGCTATTATAAAGTTGATGATTATTTTAAGGACCGCAATGCATGGAATTAACAGCCTTTGCTTTGTTCTATAACGACTAATTATATGTACAAACTATGACCTACAGACTTTGAAAGTTGTGTTTATTATTGTGATAATACATATTATTTTGGTAATGACATGATTTTGTAAATGTCATTACTTAATAAGGAGCTGGTAAGTTTCTTTCGCTTGTTCTTCTTTTCAGCTAAAAGACGTCCTGAAGAGAAGTGGTAGGGAAAAAAATTTTTTTGGACGATTCAAAAGTGCTTGTAACAAGCTTACTTGAATAAAGATATTTTCATTTCATTTCATATGGTGAAATCCAAAAGGGCAACGCCATTAATTAAAAAGAAGAAGAATAGTATAATAAAATGTTTATTTCAATATAGCTGCCATTAATGCCGATTGTACAACCATATTTTATTCTTTCTGTTCTTCTATTAAACTGTCTATTTAGTGTACTTTTAGTTATTATATATATAGTTTCTTCTTTACAAACAAGATGCAACATTTATGCACCAAGTATCACAATCACAATTATCTTGCTATTTCTATTCAAATATTTTTCTACCAAAGCTTATAATAAATAAGTCAACAATTGTGTTGCTAAGCAACCTCAAACCCCTTGTTTGGTTACATCACTGTTGACGTTTCAGTTTACAGGGTAATACGGACGATGGCGCTAGTAAAATATCAACTGTCACATGTAAGGGAGTGTATGTTTTCTTTTTCTTCTTTTTTAATTAGTGGGGAGTGTATAAGAATTGCAATGTAAATATGACATACGACTTGTGTATGAATTCTTGTCATTAATTTGGTATAATTTTAATGGTCTCCTACGTGAAATTGGCAGGATTGTGGTTAACACAAAATAGTCATTAAAATAGAAGAAGAAGAAGATTAAATTACATGTCGGAGGCTGACTATCAACTAAACAAAAACAAACTCCTTGCATGTGACTCGAGAAACTTGGCAGGCCCACTTACATGATGGTTTGATGTGACGATTGTATACCAATTTTAATTGCTCCTTATATGTAAAGTAGGTACCAAGAAAATCTAAGTAATTGTTTGTAAATAGCTATAGTGCTCTCTATAAACCAGTATTTAGTTTGTAACTAAGTTCCCTGAAAAAAATTCACCTTCTGCTCCCACTGGTGATGCTCATGGCAGCCAACGTGTTAATGTGCATGTTACAGAGTCAGGCAATGAAATAAGACGTGGAATTTTTAGACTTACATATTTATTAGAGATCTGAACAAAATAAGAAATTAAATTATATGTACAGTCTATGTTAAAACTAACTAAATTAGAGGTAAGTTAATAGGTACACACTTTGTATTTTTTTTTTCATTACATTAGCTTATTGTATGGTAAAAGGAAAACCTTACATTCAATAAGAAACATTTTCCTATGGCAAACGGAACAACTTGAGCAGCAGTGTTATAGCAAAATGCATCAAGAACAGCCTAATAACTTACAATCAAAAGGAAACAAAAGGAAAAAATAAATAAAATATTTTAAAATATTATGCGGATGCAAAAAATCAGTCCATCCATTCCCAATGTGATTGCACACATTTAAAAAATAAATAAAGTAACTTTGAATAAATAAACAAATTGTACTTTTTTTTTATTATATAATCCTTGTTCTAAGCCCCCAATTTAAAACAATAAAATATTGCTTTAACAAGCTATATATTTAACTGTGATATTAAAAATAGTATAAAACTCCGCAACTTCGTGACACTCACAAAGTTTACAACACCGCTTCAACACAATATAGCGACCTTTAATATATTATTATCTCGTGTATAAACGGCTTAATATAACAATATTATGCATGACATTGCAAAAACAACAAAAACGTTGTTCACCAAAATGTAGACACAAAAATATTATGGATATACCAAATGTTATAATCTTATTACACTGAGTTGCTAAGGCACTCAACTACATTATCGACTATTATTATAGATAAACTTTATGCATAAAGCAAAGAGGAAAAGTATAACTTGGGCGTTTGCAGAACATTAGAGAAAAAAAAAACAATGTGATAACTCGTTCACCGATGCATGCAAAACAATTTCTTTCAATTCCAAAGGAGACTTAATTCTAATGTATAATACGAATAAATGTTTTTTTGTCACATTCCTATGGCTTTGTTACGAGACTAAACGATAGTAATGTGGTAGAAAAGTCTAAGCATATGTGATCGCCAGTCGTTAGTTTGCCGCTACCGGTTCTGGCGCAGATACCTTTTGACTAGTATCACCCACTGCTATCTCTGAAAACAACGAAAAGGCATGTGTTATTAGCAATGCGTTAGTAACTTTATAGCAATATAAACAATTATACATTACAAGTACTCTTAACAAAACTTGGGACTTTTACATTTAAAAAAAACTAATAAAAATTATATATACTACGCTAAGAAAACATTATCTGAACCGAAAGGGGCGTATAAGCACAGAAGTAAAGAAACGTAACAGAGACAAATTTAATTTGTTAAAAACATATTTTTATGAATACTTGAATTGTCCTACGAAAATAGTCGAGACATTTGAACCCGTCTCTTCACATTTCGATAACCGTGAGTACTGATTGTATTCACCACATAAATATGACGTTTAGTTTATAGAAATGTGACGTCACACGAAACACCGCATGGCCACCCGTATTTCGGTTCTTGTAACCGACAAATACAAATAGAGTTACCATTTCGAACATATGTCACAATTTATAGTTATAACTGTTAAGTAGTCAATGTTCTATTCTGTTACATTCTGCAGTAGGAATGATATTTGTAGGTTGCGTACCGTTAGTGTTGGTATTATTAGGCGAGTGGTGCGGCGAGCTGTTCTGCGAATCGCTAGACGTCCCTTCAGCCTCGCCAGTCTCACCCGCGGACGATGTTGCCTAACAATAATAATTAACTATATTATAAATGGGAAAGTGGGTTTGTTTGTTCTTTCACGTCGCATCATCATTTTTATGATGTTTTTATTCTGAAAAGTGACGATACTTTTTACCGCAAATAAATCTTATTGACACGCGAGCGAATTATAAATAAAGCTTCCATTTCTCCCATAAAATCCAATGGCTGACTAGTATCTATAGACGATAAGTGAACTGTTAGCAGTGTGCTTTATTAAAGACAAACACTACTGGTTATGCATTTAACAAAAAATAAATACGCAATATTTCACTATCGACGCACCATCGTCTTTGTATTCAATTTCCAAAATGCAATTGTGTGATAATTTAAAATTGGTTTATTTTATATTTCTAGTGATAATTTGTCAAAACAAAATTATCAAATTTTATATTCCTATGATATATTTATTTTATATTTATTTCATAAGTGCTGTTATACGCTCTATAAAAAATAAGTACTTACCCTAGTTCTATTTCTTGGTAATCTAGGTTTAGGGCCTTTGGGCTCTTTGGCAGGATCAAAATGGCAGTCGAATATTTCTATGAGCTCCTGAATGTCTTTCTCTTTCGCAGATACTGATAATGAAGCCAGTTGCTTTTCTAAACCTGAGTAGAAGAAAATATGAATACTAAAATTTCTATGAAAAATAAATAGTTTATTATATAATTCAACTAGCTGTAACCCGCGGCTTCGCCGGTACTGTGTGCACACTGGCCTGCTATACTAGAGTTTTAAGCTAAAATTAATAAAAAATGTAACAGAAAGCATCCACTTTATTATCATCAATCATTATGAGGAATTTTTACTACATGGCTATTAAGGTGTATAATAGTATACCATCAAATATAAGGAAACTTCCTACAAATCGGTTCATGGTTGTTATGGAACTGGCTAGTTGATAAGTCTTCATACAGTTTAATTGAATATTTTTTAAAATAACTTTGCCAATGATATGAATTTAATCAGATGGACATTCCAATATTATTTGCAATATTAATAATTCTATTATAAGTATACTGTACTCATACTCATTGATTTGTAATGAATATTGATTATAAATTGATTTCTTATATTTTCACGCACACTATCCCTAAATTAAACAACTTTTAAACGGTTTAATCGCGTTTATTTTCAGTTTTATGACGTGCGTTAGGAGGACCCAAACATAAGATTTGACAATCCAAAAATACTTGCAACTGAACAAAAATTCATCTCTAGAATGATACGCAAGACTATTGAAATTAAATAACATCCGAATTTTAAAAGAACTGAAGGTTAGCCCCAATAGCCCCAAAGGTTAGATTATATCACCGGGTTGGGATCCAATAATTAGTCAAATATTATATGTGAATCCAGATCACACATTGCAATACCAAAATATATTAATTCATTCTCTTAATATTTATTCAACATTTCAGAGATGCCAAGATAGATGCCAACGGATGTTCTGATTCAACTGTCATCTCTTCAATTTGAACATACAAATTATATTTAAGGAACAATAACTTTGCAATTTTGTCAACTTCCAAATGATTTCTCTGCACTAAACAATTGTTCACTTGGCACTGAACGTAACGTAAGTGCGAACTAAGGGAACAAAAACTTAATATTTCATGTTATATTTTCACCACAATAAGCGATCTTCATCTAGTTGGAATCAGTTTTCTTTATTATATCCATTGTTTGTGTTCCTTATAAACACGTCGCTGTATGTTATCGTAAATAAACCTTTTTTAAAACTCCGCATAAATTTACAGGAGGCAGAGTTCCGTTATAACCCTAACCTATATATATCGTACGTTGAGAACGATAGTGACACAATGCAAAAATTGCGATTTTGAGTAATGAGCGTTTAATGTTCAAGAAATTATAATCAGCCCCTCTAAACAACGTATCGTCACTACGCCACCTAGCAGTTTCTATGCAAGCTACGTTCACAGGGATCTTTGCATTTTAAAGTTTATACTTAACAAAGAAAAATGTTGCCAAAAGTAAAAAATACGTCATTTTTGGTTAGTGACATTGTCATTCTCAACGTGCGAAATAGGACTAATGGTATCTATTTATTATATTTGATCAATTTTTCATTAACAATGCTATATACAACGTGTCCCAAAATTCAACGATAAGCGGGCGCCAAGAGGTACCCTTGCTCATGTGTACTTATGGAAATATAAGAAAAAAATTATCTTATCTTTTTTATTATAAAATTAAATTCGAAAATCTTCGAAAACCTTTTATGATATTTTCTACTACCACGACCACAACTTCTCAATTATGTTCAATCTTTTTTTGGTTTCGGATACCTCAGTAGCACTACTATTCGCTACAACTCTTTAGAAAATTTTCGAATTTTATTTTATAATAAAAAAGATTAATAAGATATATTTTTTTTCTTATTTTTCCATAAGTACACATGAGCAGGTCTACCTCTTAGCGCCCGCTTATCGTTGAATTTTGGGACACGTTGTATAATGGTGTTTATAAGAAAAGGCTGAAAGAAATATTCAATAATAAATTTTTTAATCTGATGTTATCACATGTTTGTTCCATTTTTTTTTATTATTTTTAGCTATTAACAACTTTTATGCTCTTGTGAATTTATTTATGGTGGAAACTTAATTGATTTGTGACATTGTTTATATTATTTTATTTAATTGTGTAAAACTATTGTTTCTCAGATATTATTAGATAAAATAAATAGTCTTGTATACACTTACCCTCCAGCTTCTGTTCTTGCCAGGCGTCCCTGAGCTGTTCGTACAGTAGACCGGCGTCCGCCAGTATACGTCGCAGTTGTGTGACGCGCTTGCGTTCCGGTCGCGCCAGTCTTAATAGCGGTGCGAATACTGGCCGGAACGTGTTCTGTCTGTTAGGGGAAAGTTAATTATAATAATACATCATTTCTCCTATTCCTTATACATTTCAAATTACAAAAGAATAACAAATCGTTAACTTATTTTGCAAGGCATAACATTGATAGCTTTAGAAGTATCGGGTGTGACACAACAGGGATTATGCCGCGGTAAAAAAAAAAGGAAACTCTATTTATAAAAGGATATTCTATTTATTCTGTCAGCCAGATAATAGAAAATATTATATGGATATTTTTGTCGCTTCAATTTAATAATAAATAGCCTAGATAACCGGCATTCAAGTTGAGGAGTAGGGGCTTGCTTCATCACAGTTTTGTAGAAAATATACAAAAGCGTCATGTGACATTACAACTCAAATACGCAAAAAAAAACGTGTTTAAAATAAAAGTCATCCCTATTGTCCGCATCTTTCACCCTACATAGAACTTAAATAAGCATAGCATAAATAAGAAAAAGCTTATACAGATTCCTACAGTAAAACAAAACATCGAGAAGTCCTATTTCAGTCAAGTACAAGGCCATATATAAGAAGCATATGAACATTTAGGTTACCACTCTGTAACAGCAGCATATGTCATCTAAAGAGAGCTTGGTTGGTATCAATATAAACAGAATAAGATAGGATGTCTATGGTAATAATGCATTTTGGCAGAGGTCTGTTGACCAAAATATTTTGGTCTTCCCTAGTTTTTTAATCTGAGGGTCGCGACCATTGGCAAGATCGTGGATACTTACACGGGGGTCGCCGGCAAAAAAAATAGTCAAGGTTCTACATGGTACACTATAGTAACACATTTTTTGTGAGAAGGAAGGAAGGATAAATAAGTCATATTTAATCTACAATGAAATATCAAATCTTACTGCTAACATGATAAGGGATGAATACTAGGTACTTAAATAAAGTTATAAATGTAGCCATTTATTTATATAATAATTTTTGGGTCTTTCTACGGCCCAATATTCCTGCATCGAAACAACCCAATATTTTTGCACTGAAATGGGTCAGGTTTTCAAAGTTTGAAAAACACTGCCCTCTAGACTGAAGCTTGATATAGTTGAGTATAGTTACCTCTCCAGCAGCCGCTTGAGGTTAGCGAGTGCTTCCAACTCCGTATGTACAGGTCTCGCCCAGACCCGCGCTGTCTCCACCATGTCAGCACTCGCCCCCGCGCCTTCGCCCCCCGCACCCACTTCCTGCTGCTCACCTAATAACGATAACATACCAGAAAGGGTCAAATTGACCTACTGAATAGTTACAAAAGAAAAGAGACGTTTCAAATCACTACATAGTATAAAACAAAGCCGCTTTCTTTGTCCCTATGTATGCTTATATCTTTAAAACTACGCAACGGATTTTGATGTGTTTTTTTTTAATAGATAGGGTGATTCAAATGGAAGGTTATTAGGTATAATACAAGAACACGCGGGCGAAGCCGCTGGCGGAAAGCTAGTATTTACTAAAGCTTTAATTATATCTTCATGACCAGCCTAGTAATGTCACCATTGTTGAGGTTCAAGCATTCACTATGAATCGATCAAATCAAATAGAGGCAATCAAGGAAAACACTGAGTGACTCACGTGGCGAGATCTAATTTAGTTATAAAAGAGTGCAAGTTTGTAAAAACATAGTAAGTCATTCATTTGCGGCGACTCTCAAGACTCGTGAGACCGATTTTTTTTTGTCTATCATGGTAAGACTAAAGCGCCAGTTTCGACCCATACTGATAAAATAATAACGCTGTATAAATAAACAAGACTATCTGGATGTCTAAATCCTTTAGTGATTTAATATGATATATGAAGATTAAAAAAAAAAAAAATTTAAATACACTTTTTTTCTGGGAGTATTTAATGCACTATTACCGATAATCACACCATCATGCTTATTTTATTTATATTTGTTTTGACATATTTCTTGATTTGACATAACAGGTAAAAAACTGAATTAAGAGAGATGGTGGAAGCCGATCCTAGTCAAACTACCCAAGAATTTGTGGCATGGTTTAACGTTACCTTAGCCACAATATTAACTCACATGCGTTAAATCAATAATATACGAAAAATGGGTGCCTCATGACTGATCTGCAGAAAAAAACGCGTGTTGAAACTTGTGTTGCCTTATTGAATCGGTACAGAAATGATGGAATATTGAATCGAATTGTGACATGTGATGGAAAGTGGATTCTTTATGGTAACCGTAAAAGAAAAATGCAATGACTGACCCCAGGTCAAACGCCACAACAGTGTCGTAAAGCAAAACTTACCAATAAAAAGGTATATCTTACCTTGTGCAAGGTGTTCGACAATCCTATATGCAGCAGTGGCCCTGTCTAATGCACTATCTACGGATAGTGAGTCGGCGTCGAGTAAAACTCTGGCTAAAACCCTCAATGATACAGATTTCACTGTAGTCTTGCACTTATCAGCCGCCAGCGCGTAGCTGTCGGCAAAACCCGCCACGATAGTCTTGAAGCGATCCAGCAACTTGTACCTGAGAATAATTATATATAATATCTTATGAAATTTTAATATCTTATAGTTCAATGGCTTATAAACTATTTATTAGCTGTAATCTGACAAATTGTTGTTGTCTTACAAAATCATATCATACAACTTGCCTCCCATAAATAATTTTTTCTTTATCTCAAACAAATCAATTAAAGTACTGTTAAAGTGAGGTGTGACCAAGAATAGCTTAATAATGATAGAAATTTTGTTGCACAAACTAATTATTTTAATCTAGTCAAACTGCAATTTCGATTCTATTAATATGTAACTCAGATAACAGAAATGCACTTATTATATCAGGTTGGAGAAAAAGTCGTCGCATATAGTATGCTCGCATTTGTATTGGTATCATTAAAAAGTATAAATTTTAAAGAAAATAACTTCGAATTCAAAATGGGTGAATCTAATAAAGAAATTCGATACATGTTAACATTTTATTATAAAAAAGGTAAAAATTCTATGCAATCCGCGAAAAAAAAATTAGGACCGCATTAGGTCCATAAAGGATCTATAGTGTTGTTTTATGTGAGAGTAGCACAAATTTGGTTAAAGCATTTTCAGTCCGGAAGTTTTGATTTCAAAGATGCACGTCGATCCGGTCGCCCTGTTACGGACTAAATGGATGCCATTTTTGAAAAAGTGGAGCAAGATCGGCATATCAGTAGTTACGACGTAGCTGACGAGACCACGGCATAGTTTTGACGCATTTGAAAAAAGCTGGGTGCACGAAAATGTTGGATATATGGGACCTCACTTTGGGTTTAGGACACATTTGTTACGGCGTTATAAAACCAAACCATTTTTGAAGATGCTCATAACCGGTGATGAAAAATGGATCACGTACAACAAGAATGTGCGACAAAGGTCGTGGTCAAAGGGTGGCCAGGCATCACAGACTGTGGCATAACCCGGGTTGATTCTAAACTCTATTGCAAACAACTGATGAGATTAAAGCAAGAATTTGAGAGACAGTGTCCAGGATTAATGAATAGAAGGTGTGTGGTTTTTCATCATCATAACTCTAAACCCCACACACCTTTTGACAATCAGCAAAAATTAAGAGAGTTTGGCTGGGAGATGTTAATGCATTCACTGTATATTCCTGACCTTGTAACTTTTTTGGTCTCTTTAGAATTCTTGAAGCAGTGTCAGTTTAACATCGAAAAAGAGGACTCGAGGATTACCAAAACTGAGACAACTGGTTTTGGTAGTCCTCAAGTCCTCTTTTTTGATCAGCAGCCCCAAAATTGCTGTAGCAATGGGATCATGTCCCTACCTACAAGAAGGCAAAAAGTTATCGAACAAAATGGTACTTTAGTTAAATGCGAATAAATTTTTTCCCCAAACTATTATTATATAGGGGAACATAGTTCTCTTATTACATGTCACTACAGACAGACAGAATAAACCGAAATTAATTCACTCTTTTTTTTTTTGGTGAGTTGTATAAAAAGCATAAGTGCATTAAAAGTCAATTAATATCTCTCTGCTAAGGGCCTTCCCTAAGGATTGAGACACGCAGGCAGAGCCTTAGCATGTATTCCATATCATGGAGGAGCTTGAGATAGTAAATTTTTTGATTGCTTATCCTACAGGAGTTACAACTGGCCCTTGCAAAAGTTGCTCTGTTTAGCGAGTTTGTTGTTGTTAAATGTTGTTTTTCAAATAGCATTTTTCATATTCAGTTTCATCATTCAAGAGAAATGAAGTTAACACAATTCAATTATTACGCACTGCAAGTGGCTTATTGTCCTGCGCTGACAAATAACTCCTCATAAAATATTATTTGTTTCAATTGACTGACCTGGTCAGTGCTTCTAGAAGCATGGTGGGGCTTAAGCGGCGAGGCTCGTGGTAGATGAGAATGACACTGCCATCTCCCTTCTCTTTCTCTAACCAGTCCAGGAAATCAGACAGGGCCGATATCTCAGATTTAGTCTTCAAAATCTGAATTGTATGTTTAATTGATTAAGATCAAGATTAAGATATATTTATATATATTTAATATTGTTGGTCCACTTATATCAACTATTTATATTTCAATAAGGTAATTAAATAAAATTCTACTTCTTTCTGGGTGTCGTGATTTCGTCGACGCTGGTATCCATATTAATAGTATTATTGTATTGAATGCCTATACTCCGGAATCACTGTACTGTATACGAGAAGCAACCGTATTTAATTATGAATCCTTTTTTTTAATGTAAATTACGTAGGTTTTACAGTTATTTTGTGGATAACGGTGCTGGTTGTGCAATTTATTATTTATCTCTAACTGTACAAATTTCAAAAAAAAAAAAGATCTATATCTTTTTGGCGCAATATAAATGTTATGTTATAGAGTTTATCGAAATATGGTCTCTCCATAGATATTGATATGTACTTAGTGGTAAAAAGGGAAATGATGCCTAAATACACAAAAATTTCATCATACAAGCAAACTGTGATTTTCAAAATGTAATAAAAATTTTAGAATGTGAAATTAATATTCTTCGTTCATAATAAAATATCATTACTTATCTGTTATCATTTTAGATATTAGGGCAGCAATAGACGTTTTAATTTGATTTGAATCTGTAAAACTAACCTTATGGGTGACGGTGTCCTTAAGCATACGATAGCGGCCAACGGTAACGACCCGGACGTTGTGGCGGCGACGCGCTCCAGGGTTCAAATCTCCATAGGGCATTATATACTGCGAGTATGTCTGTTTCGGGGTGTACGCTGCGATCTGACATATCTGATGACAAAGAGCATTACATTTAAAATTTACAGTATGTTTGATAATAATTGTTTATTTCAAACCCTGGATCTCCGCAACAGGCATGATTCGGAAATATATGTAAATAAGACTCTACATAAAGATTTAAAGTAAGATGTAACTCTGCTAGAGTTAGCAGCCTATAAAATGGTTTACTTTTAATTAGTATGAAATGCTTTTACTATTAAAAACATTGTTAGGAAGATCCTGCAATTTTCTAGTTATGTACTTTGCAACACATTACACAACAACTTTATTTATTTACTAGTTTTCCACCCGCAGGTTTACCGTGTGAGTAATAAGGGTTGATTTTAACTTCTTTATTTTTCGCGACAAAAACTAACCATGTCCTTTCCGAAGGTTTAACATGGAATTTTATTAAAATTGATTCAATAGTTTAGGCGTAAAAACGTAACAGACACACATACAGATAAAGAGTTACTGTACGCATTTATAATATTGATATGGATTTGCATTTACATAAAAGTTATAAAGGATAACTAATGATAGATTGTAGCTATAACTATTGATATTTATCTTACAGGAAAATACTAAAAACAAGACCATTTAAAAGTACAGACGATGTATAATTTCCGAGTATTTTTTATGTGATAATTTTTGTCATAATAATGTTAATAAATATATCATTGAAATTAAGCTATAAGCAATGGTGGGAACCTGTAATTTTCTGCCCATCGGTTACTGTAATTTGAGTGTGACGCATTTTTATTTGAATTTGGATGGAAATGCAAATTTTTCATGTTTACAATTTACAAAAAATTTATCCAATTGTCATGAAATAAAAAAACAACTTAAACTAAAACCCTTTCAAAAATAAAATCAAGTAATAAATAATAAAAAACAAAAAAAAAACTTTCTGGCATAATTAGGGTCAATGTTAGTTTTAAAAAGTTTCAAATATGTATGGAAAATTGAGTTAATGTAATACATATTGCCACATATTTAATTGAACAGATGTTTTTACTTCACATAATACTAAGAACAAATATTATGTCTGAATAAAGGCTTTTATTATTAGTCATCTTTAAAAATATGTACAGTGCCATTTCTACATAACATACTGAGCTTTATTTCATTTGCAATAAGAATGTCATACAATTAATATCTTTGAAATGTAACAAATTAAAATTTCACTAAAATAAATACCACTAAGCTAAGTATTTTTACAAACTCTAGAAACTAATCAACATAATTCATCAAAAATATTGAAGTTACTAATCGCAGTCCTGAGTGTGTGAGATGATTTTCCAGTATTCTGATTATAGTATTTTTGAGTCTTCAGCACTAAATGGAGACAAAATTCATATACATATAAAAGAGTATACATAGAGTACAATTCTCATAGTGTTTTCTGAAAGTATTTGAATCCCTACTTTGCTAGTCTGTTATACTCTCATTTATGCCGGGGATAAATAATTGCGATCGTTCAGAACACATATCACAGCAATAATTCTGCTGATGTAATAGTATAGGGAGTCCATAGAGCTTCAATAACAACTCTTTTTGACACATTTCTTGTTACTACCTCACAAAATAACAAACATTGCACTGATAATATTTGTAAGTGGACTAAATCTATTACAGAATGGTTCCCTTTCCACAGATCTGCCAAAGGGTTGGAGGTTCACAATTAATGGGGGTGGCTTACCATGGAGGAGGCCTATGTCGGTGGACAACCAGACCCCTAAGCAAGGGCACAAATACAAAATAATAAATTCTTAATTGCATATTTAAAACTGTAAGCTAGTATCATGTAGTTAATGGTCAAAATAATGATCAGAGAATAAAGCTCATTTTCATTTTCATTTATTTTATACTAATAAAAACTTTTATTCAGCATTTCTAGCATTTTTTGATGTATAAATAATGCTGCACTTTAACAAAATTCTCTACTGTAGTAGTTATGCTTTAGAATAGCCCAAAATTTGTTTCATGTTATTTTTTTTATGAAATGTCACCTCATCTATGAGTCTCCTCCCTGTTGTGTCCATATCCCATCCGACCAGGGAATACTTGCCAGGCGGCAGGCCAGCAGGCTTCTCCGCCAATGCAGGCGGCAGCTCGACAGGGGCTTCCATCTCACCACCATTCAACTTTGCTTCCGATACCATTTCCATGAACTCGATCACACAACTGACAAAACAGAATTTTTAATTTAAGTATTTTAGAACTACATTTAAGCATGTGTATTATTATTTAAATAGATTTTTATTTTACTACTAAATGTGGGGTGCAGCTACATATTGTTTCAAAGATAAAACTAATTTTTGTGGCATAACTAATTAAGTAATGTAGATAATTAAGTTTCAATAGAATAATGTGTTATTAGTGAAAAAAATAATGAGTTAGGTATTGTTTAGACTTTTACCAATGCAATATGAAAATGGTATCAAAATCTTAAAGGGTTTCACTTTCGAATCAACAATATGGTATACAAACAGAAAACTACCAGTTGTGTTTCCAGTATCCACACAAATCACTGTCACACTTCAATCAATTTACATAAAAACTTAATGAATTACACACTGAGCCTCCCTGATGAATATAAAAACAATTCAGTAGTATTCCATTCTGACAGACAGATACAAGTGGCTAATGTCTTATCAGAAATGTTCAAACTCTGATTATTTAAATGCAATGTAGGTAAAACGATCCTTATGCAACTTGAAATATGTTTTCTATAATTTCAGTTTTCTCAAGTACTAATTTCAAGGTTTAATATATTTTACCTAAGTCTAGATAAATATATTGTTATTTTATGTTTTATAGCCCTGTAAATATAATAATAATAATAATTTATAGCCTAATTTCTACAGACCACTTGAGATGCTTCCAGGGACAACCAGTGGTCCACAGACCATTGGTTAAGAACCACTGACCTACAGTTCTACCAATAACATGTACACTGGAGTTATATTTATATATGGATATTTGAACTGCTTATTTGATGTTAAGTTTAAATGTAAAGATACTGTATAAATAGATTTTGTTATAGCTCAAAGTCAAAATAAACCAACCAATTAAAACATAATCATGTTAATGGTTACAGAATCAATAATGCCAATACTTACACATTGCCTTATAAATAAAACACAAGGTTGTGATATACACAGATAATAAAAACTATTAAGTAAAATGACCTACAACAATAACTAGCAATTTGGATTTTAATTTGGGTTGAAAAAGTGCAATTTTCAAATACTATAGTTATGTTGAGGGTAGATTATAATAAGCAGATTAAATTACAGTATTAACAAATTATTTAAATAATTTTCAGTATCTTAACCAATGTGGGTAGTTAAACACTGGTTACATTATCTACCACACTTTTCTCAAATAGAAGTACCAACATGGATTTTATTTATTTAATACTTATGATTGGTTATTATGATTTATAACTTATTTTAGGTTACTTACGATATCCAATTTCAAGTACCTTAGATCAAGTCATGCTATATAAAATAATCGTGTTTGTTCTAACCCCACTAAACTTCCTTTACGAGCAGAAGTAGATATTTCTTATACGAAATGAGAAAATAATTAATAACCTATATGTCAATAGCAATACTACCTCTTTATACCCCTAAAATCTCTTTAAATATTCAAGGTTTTTAGAGTAATGTAAATTCTATATGGTTAATCCATTTTCCATGGATTTCAATATAAATACAGCCCGGTGACAGAAACGAAATCGATCTAAAAACAAACTATTTGTCGCACTCATGAGCAACGGACGACCAGAGTTTTTATCTTTTGGGGCATTAACTATTATTAAATTATCAACGAGTCAACCTAGGTACAGCGAAAATTAAATAAAAATATTGAAAACCCATTTAATACGACACGTGGCGGACTTTTCCAAAGACATTTTTGCCCCACCCCAGCATGTCAAAATAAGAAATTATTACTTACTTCTGAAAATTTACCTAAAATCACCGACGATAATGTATATCTTCAAACAGCAGATGAGATGCGTTATCTTCAGATATTGTAAATTAAGATAATTTACAAATAAAATCAAAAAACTCAGCACGTGTGCGGCAAATACCTAAGAAACCGCAACTCTAGCAAGTAAATAGTGATGTGAAATTGCAAACCAATCGTAGAATTACATACAGATTAATCGATGCTTTGTCAACCCTTTTATTATTATGATACCGTTTATCACTTGTAAGAGAACTTTTATGACCAAGTTAAGAAAGATGTTTACAAATTAAAACAATCAAATTGATTTGTTAAAAAACATTAAAAAAGCAATGGTATATATATATATATATATTTAAAAACTTACTAAAATGTATTTATTAACAGGAGTACAAAATGAGCCTATTAAAAATATTTATGATTGTATGACATGTATATTATATATGTATCTGCTACCTATAATGCAACAATGAGGAAGTTTTTAAAAAGAAAACATTAGTTCCCGAAATCAAACTAGATCTCGTTACGGTACTTTCTTGATTTCTCCATGACAACCCTTCCCGTTTTCTTTCATGTATAAAAGTAAATTTGTTTTCAAAACTCAATAAACAACTCATATTGTATTTGTATTGAAATCTAAGTTTCAAACTTTGCAAAGTTCAGTTTTTAAATATGTTAGTTAAAAGGAACGGAAATGACTATTTTTGGTCCATTATTTTCCTGCAAAAATTAACTTTTGTTAGAGTCACCATCTAGTGAAGATGCTATTTTTTTATTTTTAAATACTTCCTCATTAGTATCATATGTATATATTATGTGTGACAAGGTCGAGCGTGACGGCCGGCAACGACGGCAAACCACTACTTTCTAGACATTTCTAAATATTGTTTTACCCTCAACTGAAGCTGATTATTTTGTTATTTTATGTGGATAACTGATATTGACCTTATAAGTTAATGCTAGAATTAAGTATTGAATTGTAATTTTTATAATAAAATACCAAAATACTGGAAAAGACTTTATGCCTAAACCAATCATATTTCGTCTGGATGATAATTAAATAATGTCTGCAAGTCAATAAAGCATTATTTAAAGATAAAAATATACAAGGTGTTACTATTAGTTTGTTGCTACTTTGAAAGTTATTTGCACTAATTTTCATATTGAGATATATGATGTATTACGAAGCTTTATAAATGTTAATGTACATTTAATCTTTGATATCAATAATGTTCATTCAGACTTTGTGTGGAAATAAAATAAGATAACGAAATAAAAATATAATAGCAAAATATGCTACATTTTTGGTCATTAATTATATAACAAGTAATATCTTAAGCCAATTTTGGAAATAGAAGAATATTCTATCTATCGCAATTCCTTTCAATTTGATATTTGAAAGATATTTTCTAACTTCATGCTACAACTATTTTTTTTAAGGTGTTGTATGAATAATTTCATATGTCGCTGACACAATCGTTGATCCTTTGGTAAGGATTGGGATATATTTCGAAATTAGACAATTAAAAAGCTATTATGTATACCAATACTTATTGTTTCAATTAAAATACTAATACGTTCGTGTGATCGCTGTGTGACGTTATTGTACACTTGCGCAAGTCTTTGACTTTAAGCTTTACCAAAAGTAGACTCTGATTTTCGTAACGTTTTTTATTGCAAATGACGAATTATGTTCTGTTAAATTTATACTCCATTTATTATAGCATTAGACAGAAGTTAAATAAGGTTCTTTTTATGGTATACTTTATGGCAAAATATCAATAATCATGTTACCTCAATTGCCATTTCAGGAAGTTTTTCCAATGTCTTCATCAATAATCAAATGTCTGAATAAATGTTATAAAAGGCATAATAAAAATTTCATTTTGTTTACATTTTTTCCTGGGATATAATTAATTATAAGATTAATTCTGTTCTAATTATACACATTTACAATTAGAAATTATCAAAACCCCAGATAGATAGTTTTAGTTCCATGTTAGTTTGGGAGTAAAAGATGAATTAAGAAAATGCTGGCCTCATCTCAAGCACGAGGTATCGTAATAAATGAAAAATTGCCGAGCTCTTTCAGACTACCTAACGTTCAAAGTTTCAACAAAACTATACTATATATTTTTTAAATTTATCTTGTAAATAAAATGTTCTGCACTGCTGCTTCTATAATCTTCTTTTTTCTAATGTTATTAACATTAAAACATTGAAGTAAGTACTATCTTTTTAGAGATATTTGAATATGGTATAAATTAATAGCAGTGGTTTAATGAGGTGACGTCCAGCATTTACGTCAATTTAAAATTTTAAAGTTTAGATGTATTTTTATAACAAAACTGACTGAATTTGTTTTTTGCATGGTAATAAACAATCCTAATAAAAGACTTTAGAATTAAATAGGGGATTGGACAGCATTAAAATATAGGAAAATACAGATTTTTGTTATATGTTCGGAAATATAAACCAGAATTAGTGAGACAGAATTGTCATTACGAAAATGAACTTTACTACAATCGATTAAAGTGCATTTTTCATTGATCCCTCTACAGCAGATAATCCAAGCCGAGAGAAAAGTCGCAACGAAGGCCGTGTGTCTCGTTCTTTCATTATACCATTGTAAAAAAAAATAGTTGATTAAAATTTTTAACTAAAATAATCTTGGTGGAAACACTTATATTTTAATGATAACTATTTAAAAAATGTAAGTCATCATAGTATAATCACATTAATTTCTTTAATATTAAATTATTACAAAAAGATAGTATTCATTATTATTATGGCTATTCGTTTACTTATCTTCCACTGATATCACTTTTAAATGTCATAGCAGTGACATATTATACTTTAATAAGTTTCGACATGTTACCGTTTTTGAAATCAATTATCGAAAAGTAGTCAATATATCGATTTTCTGATATATCGTTGCATCTTTACTTGCCTCTGCTGTATGTAAATTTATCTAGTCTGATGTTTTTTATGCAAAAACCGCAAAAAGTACCTATTCTCTCAGTGGAGTTTTTTTCTATGTTGACCACTAACCATGGACTTAGTACTATATAACAGGACAGAGGACTCCCAGCTGAAAAGCGAGTCGAGCGAGATGTCAAGTACAGAGGTTATTTTTTATATTATATATATTTTATATTTTTTCTCTTTCTAATAGGGCGACAATAATATTTAAATTAAGTGAGATTTTTCATATGGTTCAGTTTTTAACTACTGAGACTATTATTGTACACAATTATCTTGTTTACTATTTGTTACAATAAATATATTTTTATTATTTATTTTTAGGCTTATCATGCAATTTAGTAACGACTAGTGTTATCGCACGAATCGCGCGGCTTTTTATTATGTATGGAGATTGTATGAGTCTGTCAATATCGGTAACAAATCTCCTCGACATCGAATTTAATATACGTACTCATAATCTAAGAGGGGGATATTAGGGTACGGTATAAGTAAATGTTAAGGAAGCACTTTTATCGAACGTGAATTACAGTCTGTCTATAAAGTCATAAAAAGAATGTTTGAGGAACTATCATTAGTCACAAGTATGACAGCACTGAATCAAAGTACATCGACTGTCAACGACTTGATTTTGTGTCTCGATTTTCTGCATTTTTTATTTGTTTTGATTAAACTGAATCTACTTCTTCTAAACTCCGTAGAATATCAAAAATGAAGAGAACTAATCGGAGTGAAGCTCGGGATGTTATTTTAAAGTTTTTCAGTGATGTTTATTGGAACAAGGAGCTGGACACATTTTATCATATTTGGATAATGTCTATGCTTGAATGGCAGCTATGACTGGTATGTAATCGTGTTACTGATTGTGTTTTAGTTACCAGAAGTTTCAAATTTACTAAATATATGAATTTAAGTCTAAAATAAGTATTGTTTACATTGCGCATTTATAGGTTAGATTGAAAATGTTAGAAGGCTATATTGTAGTGCAACCCAAACTTTGTGCTTTATATTACAAAAAGTTTGTGCTTTATATTACTAAAATTATTGCATTAATTTGATCATTGTGGCGATTGCGTTCTTCCTGCCAAATACCTATAGGTATTACATTTTTAAAACTTACTTTCAGGAAAATCAGAGATTATAGTGATACGTATTGCAGATAAAGGATATAAAAATGGTGGCATATTTGAAACCCGTGGGAAACATAGATGTCATCCTAAGAAAGAAATGGTTAACTGCAACATTTGTGCACTTCGACAAAAGATTCAGTTCTTTTACTCTGTGAAAAAAGAGTTACCTACATGAAGAAAACTTCAGTTGATTGCCAAAACCGATCTGCCTGCGTAAAATTATAAAATTGATTGGGTTTTCTTACAAGAAGTGTCAAAATAACAGGCTTTAATCGAACACAAGCACACATTGCAGTAAAACGAGACAATTGGCATTGGCAAAACTACTTGGCAATTATAAAAAAATTGAGGTTTATCAAAAATTACGATTACTATATTGTCATCTTCAATGTAGAATAAACTTATTGTCTACGAATTATACGCCTTTCTTTAACTTTTCTGGAGAAATTAAAGTAAAAAAAATAACCGATTTATTTTACTATAAATAAAGAAAATCCTACTATCAAAATCATTTGTCACAGGGTTACTATGTGCACGATCGAAGCGCCCTCAAGTTTTTTCATGACTTTATAGACAGACTATGTGCGTATTAGTGCATTCCATTCAAACCACGTTTATAACGTGATTCTTACTAATCACTATAAGTTGGATTGATGCCTTTTTTATCATAGAACAAAATGAAATCTTACTGTGCCTCATATGTACCGAACAAATATTAGTTTGCTAGGAATACAATATAAAACGCCATTATTCTACAAAACACGCTTCCAAATATGATGAGTACAAAGGACAAACTCGAATTCATCGCTTAATTAATTTAAAAAATTATGATCGGTCAAAAAGCGATATTCAAAATACCGAAAGAAAATTCCAAAACTGTTACAAAAAATTGTTTCATATTAGCAGAAGTCATTGCCAAGCGTAGCAAACTTCTATCAGACGAAGAGTTCGTCAAGAAATGCTTAAAGATATTTGTTTCAATAGCTTGTCCGGAGCAGAAAAAATTATAAAAAATATTAGCTCGTCACATCATACCATAGCAACAAAAACTGATCACATGGTTAACGATATTGAGTTGTCTTTGAATACGCAATTCCAGAAATGCCCATTCTATAGTTTAGCGCTCGACGAAAGTACTGATATATCAGATACAGCTAGAGATGGGCAAAGTGTTTCCGCCCGGCGGGCAGATAGGGAAAAACCCAGGCATTTTAGGAATAAATCTTATTTGCCCAATAAATGCCCGATAGGAAGGCATAAAAGTTATATTGTTAAAGACAAGATTTATCATAAATAAAGAACTGTATAAATGATTTAGCTATTAATATTGAATTATTTAAAAGAAATGAATAATTTAGTATAGATTATTCTGACGGAAATAAGCTCGTAATGTATCTATTATAGGTATATAAAAGTGAAAGGTTACTCACTCATCACGAAATCTCAAAAACTGCAAGTGCTAGGAGTTTCAAATTTTGCAAGCGAGTTCATTTTAGGACGTAGGTGCTCAATAAGACGGGATTTAATGAAATTCAACCCCTAAGGAGGTAAATTAGGGGATTAAAATTTGTATGAAACTTCGTCACTACACGTGCTAGGAGTTTAAAATTTTGCATAAGGGTTCTTTTTAGGACGTGGGTGTTTACTAAGACGGGATTTTATGAAATTCAACTCCTAAGGAGGTAAATTAGGAGATTAAAATTTGTATGAAACTTCGTTACTACACGTGCTAGGAGTATAAATTTGGGTTCTTTTTAGGACGTGGGTGCTCACTAAGCTGGAATTTTATGTAATTCGACCATTAGGGGATAAAAATTTGTATGAAACTTCGTTAGTACAAGATCATTTTATACGTCCAAGAGGGCTTTATCACAGACAGTTCCAGATTTTTCTGACTGATTCTTTTCTAGAAAGATTTTTCTTTTCTAGAAATCTAACACCAATATATATGTTTCCTTACTGATGAACAGTTGTTCAAATCCCGTCGGGGTCACCACTTTACCGATTATTGTATTGGGTCACCACTTTACCGAAATGTTATGTATTTTATTTATTAGTATATAGGTTGATATTTAACTTATAGATAAGTTTACTATCTGACTTTATTTATACGAAGGATCGGTAAAATAAATAAACGTGTTCACAGTTGTGAGTTTACTTTCAGACTATTTGATGTTGAAGTGCCACTTACAAAATATCATAGATTACGTTGCCACAGAGTGGTCGACAAAGATTATAAAACAGATGTGCCACAGTGTATATAACTAAATATCTTTCTGATCGTTATTTGAAACTGCAAGGCAAAGACCAACTATGCACAAAGTTATACGAACACGTTTTAGCTCTCACAAAAAAAGGTATACCTAGGATCGAATTACTTGCGGCATTGATGGCTTCGAGATTGGCGAGTGAGGTTAGAGATAGCTTAGAGTTACCTTGTAAGGAATATTACTGGACTGATTCGAGCATAGTATTAGCATGGTTAAGGAAAAAAGTAGGTTTTAATGTGTTCGTACACAATAGAGTAAAAGAGATTCTTGATAGAACAAATATCGCTAATTGGCGTCATATATCGGGGGATTTAAACCCTGCTGATCTCCCTTCAAGAGGATGTAACCCACAAGTTTTACTAGAAAGTAAATGGTGGTTAGGTCCTACTTGGTTAAAAGAAAACAGTTTAAATTGGCCTCATTCTGTAGAAACAACAAATGTTACAGAGATAGAAAAAGAGTTTAGTTCAGTTTTAATAAATGTAGAGGATAAAGATAGATTCTCTAATAAGTTTTTATCATTTTAGCGATTATTTAAAAATAGTTAGGATGATAGGTTGGTGCCTTAGGTTTATATTTAATTCGAGAAAGCTAAATAAACGTTTAGGGAATTTACGTAATGATGAGATTTTGGAAGCTGAAAAAAGGTTAATTATAATGTTACAAACAGATTATTTGATGAATACAAATAAGTTACCGAATCTAGAATTAGCTAAGGACAATTATGGTGTTCTTCGTGTTAAAACGCGACTAATGTTGAGTAATGATACTGAGAATTTTATTATGCCTATTTTACTTCCTAAGTGTCAAATAGTAGAACGTTTAACAGTGCACTTTCACAGAAAGTTCTCACATGCAGGTTCCCAAACTTTAATATCTAAATTACGCGAACTTTATGGGATATTAGGTATCAGGAAAATGGCTAATCGCGTTGTTAATAGTTGTATGATTTGCAAACGGTTCAGTGCCAAAGCTTGTGTTGCCCCTATACCACCATTACCTGCAGATCGCGTTGAATGTAGCGGTCCGTTTGAAGTCACGGGGATAGATTTTGCAGGGCCATTATATCTGAGATCTGGGGAGAAGTGCTGGCTGTCCTTATTCACTTGTGCTGTGTATCGCGCGGTTCATTTAGAGCTCTGTGTTTCGTTATCTACCGAAGAATTTATGATGTCTCTTCGTAGATTTTTAGCTAGACGAGGGAATGTTAAGGTTATATACAGCGATAATGGAACAAACTTTAGAGGTGCAAGTAATGTTTTTGATAACATAAATTGGGAAACAGTAGAATCTAAAACTGATAGGATTTTATGGCGCTTTAGTCCACCCGCAGCGCCATGGTGGGGAGGATTTTGGGAGCGAATGGTAAGAACTGTCAAAGAACTTTTAAGGCGTGTTTTAGGTAGAGCAGCATTATCTTTTAATGAGTTATCAACCGTCATTTGTGAGGTAGAGGCGATTGTAAATTCGCGTCCGCTCACGTATATTGCGGATAATTCAGAAAATGTTCAACCTCTTACACCCGCTTCATTTTTACTATTTTATAAGACAAATAGTAGCAATACTTTTGATATCGATTTGATAATGGTCATATTTTGACATCACGGTGGCGCTACATTAAGAAACTATGTTCTGATTTGAAACATCGTTTTCGCAGTGAATATTTAGGCTTACTAGTCACTAAATGTAATAAAAATAAAAATAATTCTTTAAAACCCGGGGATATTGTACTACTTGAGGTTAGTGACAAGAAGCGTATACAGTGGCCACTGGGTTTAGTATTAGAATGTATGGGAGGTTCTGACGGTGTCAATAGAGTTGCTCGTCTTAGGACATCGTCGGGAGAACGTTTAAGAGCTGTACAGTCTCTGTACCCACTAGAGTTATCTAGTGTGGAATCTGCTTATTTGAATAATCGCAGTGAGAGCAACAAACACAATACTGCAATAGGTATTCAACGAGAAGTACAAGGTGAACTTAGAACGCGTTCTGGCCGACTCGTCAGAATACCAGATAAGTTAAAATTTTAGTTTTGAACATAGTATTAATAAATTTTATAAGGTATGTATTGTGTTTAGGATATTGTTAGTATGTATAGTTTTTAATTTTATTTTGTACTTTGTATTATGAGTGTGCTATGTGTGTATGGCGTAAGAAGGCACATGTTGTTGTCAACCAGTGCCATGGTGGGGAGGATGTTATAATTCAAACCTTATTTCAGTTAATAATAAATAAATAATAATATTCAAATTTTATTGACAATGTCACATGTTATTGTTTTTTCAATTCAATAAAATGTCTTCGTAGATGAACATCTAAAGTGTTATTTTTTGGTTAAAACGAGGCATAGTTCCTACAAGTAATAAATCCGAAGACCTGCAGGAACGTGAATTCACCACATTATCCATAGAGAAAGCACTTTTATGTTTATTATTGTTCACTGTCTCATACTCCTTTGAACATGTCCTATATGGTTCTATACCTTTCGCATCGATAGTTCCATGAATCGCACCGGTACCGCGGAACTGTTAACATGTATAGAATAAATCAAGAAAATGAAAAAATAAGCAGCATTGATAAATAAATTTGGGTAGTGAAGTGACACCTAGTGGTAAGGGAATCAACTTGATGCGCCGAGTTGACACGATAACTCGAGTGCATAAATTGACTTGAGTGACTCAGGACTTGAGCATCACTAGTTGACATATATCTATAAGTCTGTGGTTGACATGACACAAATCTCCTTCGTACACAAAGAGTGTTTAAACACTACGTTTTACAAATAAAAAAACCGTAGACAGTTACTCTGTCTACGAAAAAAAACACTACGTTTTGGTTTACATGTAAACATTGTTATTTGTTGGTTTCGCGGTTTTTACCTTTCATTTATAGTAAACTAGTCTATACCTTTCGAAGACATGAATGAGAATATAGAATATTACAAAAATCAGATTGGATTGGCGAGATCTGAAATAAAAAATTTAAGGTCTGTAAGATCAATTTGAGTGGGAAAATTACCGATGCAGGACAAAAACTTATGAAAATCCCTTTTTTTCGGACACCAATTAATTTACGATTAAAAAAGATGAGTTATCTTTTTTATTCACCTATTTGTTTTGTGATTTAAAGCCATAGTCGGTCGTTGGCATTTTTGATAATGTTTAGCTCCGAATTTAGCTTTGATGATGTTTATAACTGCGATCAAATTTTTAAGTAAGTTTGTAATTTATTGCTTATCGTACAATTAATTGGCATCCCTCATGTCTCTAAAAGTTACGCGGGCGGTTGGTAGCCCTACTCATAAATAAAAGTAATTACATGTTTGAATTAATCAACTTTAGATTACAGTTTTATATTGGTTGTCAGACCACAGCAGTTCTAAATTTATGCTCTAGCTTTCAAATACCAAAAATTAGAGTCACAGCATTATTTGCTAGTGCTTCTCCTAGAACTCTGCCTAAATACTATTATTTAATTTTATAAGTTGAAAATCTTGATTGATATGACTTCATTTAATAATGTGACAGTCTGCAATTTACCATAATTAGACATACTAGCATTGCATAAACTTTATTTAGTTATATCATTTGCATGCTCAATCCTATCAAATTCCATTATTTAACACTTATCGAATGTATCCAGAGAGCTGAATGAGAGAATAACAATCCATCTTTTTATATTATATAATTTCAACTGAGTTTGGAATGCATTAGCACACATGTCAAAAACAAGCATTGCTTGCTTGTTATAATAATGAAATTGTTGTTTGCAGAAACCAGTTAATGGCACTGAAACATGAACATTTGAAGGAAATTAAATTAATTAAATCAACACTAAGTGGATTACAATGCAATGAATGTACTAAAACAGGTAATTTTTTGCTGATGCAAAACCTTTTATTATTTGTTCTGATTTATGTCTACAAATTCTTGCAATAATAATAATTAAACTTAATTCATAATTATAATGTTTTTTCTTCAGCTGAAACAGTTGCAAACCACCAAAATACTAATGCCCCTACCACATCTTATGAAGTAGAACATATATCATATAAACCAATCGGAGTTATAGAAACTAGTTTTCAAAATAAACGGGCAGTACCTCGTCAAACTTCTATTCTGGGAAATGCCAGGGGAACTATTGTTATTGATACCAGTGTTTTTAATAATCCTGAACATGCATTAAGTGGCTTAGATGAATTCTCACACATTTGGTAAGTAGCAGTAGCAATTAAAGTAAAAAAAGTTTTTTTTTATAAACTAATGTTTGTGTTACATTATAATTATATGTAATCGGGTCTTGTTCATGCATTTTTTTAAACTATTACCAAAATACCGTAAGTGCAGTGTGTCGCCACCTTTACGTACAATAAAATGAAGTGTAGGGTACATCTGCAAATCTGTTAAAAACATTATTACCGGATTACCCTCAGGCCTCAACCAAAATTAGAAGACGACGCCCGCCAGTTCTCCAGTCTCCTCGTGACCACGGCTACTGTAACGTAGCCGAAACGTCGAGGTAAATTAATAGTTTTAAAAAATGCACGAACAAGCCCTAATTACATATAATTATAATGTATACAAATTGTGTGAGTTTAAAAATATTATTAATGTTTGTGTTGATATATAGGCAAATGTAATTCAAGGACTTTTAACAAAAAATATTTGATTAACAAGTTTTATTTATTGTCATAAAATAGACATCACTTTTTGTAAAAAGTTAATACGCAATCCTTTTGAAAAAAAAAACTGTTTAATTATATATTTTTATTGTATTCTACATTGTAGTGATAAAGCGTTACAAAAATATAATAATGCTATTTAAAGTTATTAAATGGATGGCAATTGCAGGCCAATAAACTTATAATATTCATAAAATATATACAATGCAAACAAAATAATTCATAGTAAAATATTTGTAAACATTGTTTACAGGATAATCTTTCATTTTCATGCAACAGAAAGTACTAATATTCCAGCAAAGGTATCACCTCCCCGTCTCAGGGGTGACCGACGAGGTGTGTTTTCCACCAGATCACCTCATAGACCCTGTCCTATCGGGTTATCACTTGTAAAAATTCACAGTATACAAGGTAATACAATTAAATTAATTAACATTATATTTGGTCCAGGGTTGAGGGTTTATATTGGTCAATTTAAAAAAAAAAGTTACACAAAGCAATGTTTAAACATCTGTCAATCAATAGATTACAGTACTACTAATTCATACTGTTCTATTATGAATTTAACTACTTCATTTTTTACTGTATAAAAGAAGAGTGCAATAGGGATTATGACTGGGTAAAAAAAATGCAATTCTATTTAGTCCGTCAGTCAGATAATAGAAAAATATTAGATACGTATTTTTTTTTACTTCAATCTAACAAGAAATAGTATATATAACAGGCATTAAAGTTGAGGAGTGGGGGCTCGCTACGTCACAGTTGAGTAGAAAACGTACTCTAACGTGACGTCATGCGAAATTTCAACTCAACTCCGTAATTTTATGATTACATAAAAAAATACGTGTTTAATATTTTTTTACACTCTACCTGACGGACAAACAAACAAAAATTAGTCATCATCCCTATTCGGTCACAATGAAATAGGTGCCTACACCAAAATCACTAATTTACAATTTATTAATATGACCAAAAAAATAAAATAAGGCTCATCTTACAAAAGTTATTTTTAATATTATATCATAAAGTTTAATTTTATTATGTAGAAAAGCAAATATAATACTTTAAATTAATTTCCAGGTAATAAGATCAGCTTTTTGGGAGTAGATATGGTGAATGGTACTCCAGTTCTGGACATCAAACCATATATTCCACAGTATGATTATCCATTGATAGCATTTGATGGTAATATGTCATCATTGGTTAGGCCACCAACTGAAGGTATCAGTGATGTCGGGGAAAGGATGGACAATTTGCAAATAGAAGATGACTCCCATGAAAGGTAACTTAATATATTCACAAAATATTGGTACCTAACAATTCTGTTGCATAAATAGACCTTTTATAGTGCGTTTTGAATATGGCTTGAACTATTTTTTAAATTAAATGTCTTTTATATGTCTTTTATAAGATTAAATAATAAAAATCATGTATAGTATATTTTTGCACAAATAAATTGATTGTTATCTAAAGAGAAAATTCATTGTCACTTTTCAATTTGGTGATAAACTGTGACGTCACTAATTATGGGTTGCCAGATGAGTTTGAAAAACTATGCTAAAGCTTATACATTATAAAACACGCAGTAACTATTAAGGTTTTTACGATGCAATACATAAATTGCAACAATTGCATGATCCTCCTTTCTCCATGTTAGCGCTGAGTTTGTTAATAGATATTTTTTTCATCCCGTTATTTGTATAGTTTAATACAAAATTGGTATAAACTGGCCAGATTGCCCAGAAAATCGTGAAAGTTACAGCGAGTTGTGATGTATCAAATATATTGCTTAATACCAAAGAAAGTAATTTACCGTTTTGTTTTGTATTTTGTGTATTAAACCTTTATTAATATTGGGATTTGCTCACATCCACAACACTAATTCACAAACAAATGGCTGAACTATTTACTTATAAAATCAGAGATAATTATTCTACAACTCTATCTTGACTACACCTGGTGTTATCTGGTTGAGTGACAAAAAGTAAAATTGTAGTATTTCGCGAAAAAAGTCTGTTTCGTAAATTTAAGATTATGTACTGTTATTTTAAATGCATATTGAAGCTCATTTATTAGTTATTACTTTTTTATCTTTATGTAGTGTGGAATGACCCTAATCCCGTTACATAACAACTACCTTTCGATAAATCATCACATGGTCTAGTTAATTTAGTCCAAGACCCTATAAAATGATCAGATTTATAACAGAACGAGCTGTTTTCGGGTGCGTAATTATAGCCTATGATGTAGCTTCCGTAGGTAGAAAAAATTTAAATATCAGACCTTTGCAAGGAACAACATTCTTGATACCTTTAGATAATAAACTAGAAAAATATCGATATCAGAAAAAACAATATAAGAATACTATAAAAGAAACCCATACAATTTCAAACATGCGTTTCGAGATCTATCTATATATTTCTGATTATCGCAAGAGCGCAGTCATATTAAAAAAATATATTATATTGTTAGCTCACAATCAATTTTTTATTAATTTTAGCTCAAATCCTTGCATTGTGAATCAAAATGACATCGAAACTACTTCTTCATTACCTCGTTCACCTGTTGAAGGCGACGTAATTTCTGCTGATAATGACAATAGTAATTTACTGACGCCCGTATCTGATTCCCCGGATTCACCGCCCAGTACAGATTTATTGGATGGACCGACTTTCGGTGAATCCCCTATTAGAAGACCGGATACTGAACGAGGAGCTCCCGATGGACAAGAAAGGTTTACGCCCCCACAGTCTGCTCATGTTCTAAACTTGGCCCATGATGGAGTAAGAGTGGCACCTTGGATTTCTGACCCACCCTCACAGTCTTATGATGTTAGATTCACGGAAGATGCTCTTGCAAGGCTTAACGTCTTAATTGGAAACAGAGCACATGCATTTAAATCGAACATTGAGATGTTACTTTCTGAAGACCCTAGATCACATTATGTGAGGAGTCGATATCCAGATCACGAGTATAGTTGTGTTTTAGAAGATTTATCCATCAGTTGTGTTTTCGATACTAACTCTTCAGTGTGTACGATTGTAGCAGTGAGGAGCGCCGAGGAATTACAGAATTAAGACTTTCTTTTTAAAATTGTTTATTATTTCTTTGTACTAGTATAACGTAAATAATTAATAAGTTATAGATGCACTTTAATATAATTTGTTAGCACATTTAATTGGTTTATCATTACAAGATTATTCAAGACACCATACTTGTACGACTAATTCTTAAGGTTATCACTCGCTTTGTTAAACTAGCGCTGCGCATTTTTCAGGAGCCGTATCATAAGCTCTAAAATGTGATACGAACTTCTAATCCCGGTTAGTTAATCTATTGAAGAAATATTTCCCTCAGTAGCAATTCATATCCTTATGACAGTATTAAGCTTCCTTTAAATTTATTTTCTTGAATATTTCCATTAATGACTTTTAATAATTTTATATCTACTTAAATAAGGCACAAAGTAAATATCAAGTATACTTATATATTATTTTCTCCATGTCATTTCGAAGATTTAATGTTAACTGTCGTATTGTATATTTTGTTAATTCTGACATTCTGCGACGGTTGATACTCGACCAATCTCTTCGCCAGATATGCACCGACCTTAAATGTCGACGTAATTGTTAAAAACTACTGGGGTATTTGGATAATATAATAGACATCGATATATATTGCCCCAGGAGCAAAATTGCTCATATATTAGGTGTGCTCACTAATTAATTCCTTAACTCGCAGTCTCTTTATTTGAGTAATGAAGATGTTGATTAGCTTCACTGTGGTGTAAAAACCCATCGCTAAGACATACTCGTATATCGTCGATGACGAGTCATTAATGTCTACAACAGCTGGTTCTTTTCCAAACTCCACACTCTGAAGGTCACTGACTTTGGATTTGCCATCTTGATTTCCTTAAGATGTTCTGCGGTTCATTAGTGGTTCTAAAGGTCTCAATTTTATAAACGCTTCAGTGGCGTTCCACTACGTGCCAATAACTTCTTGTTACAGCACTTATTACTAAATCACAGATTAATGTAAATATCAAGATGCTTGCACACATATAGCAGCTCATCAGGTCGTTACTACGTTAAAATTGGTAATTGTGACCCAGGTATGGAGCGAGAGTGTCCACAGATTGCCAAGGTGTCTTAAACTGGATTGGGACACTTGTCTCTTCTTTCAGGCAGCCTCTATGAGGCTGCCAGTGTTGGATCGGGTTGACAAACGAGTGAGTTATCTATCTTATCCATACTTGTCTACTTTTAAGATTATATTACAAATCATCGAGTCCATTTTTACTGAGAGGGACATATGAACTATATATAATTATATAAACTTACTTACTTTTTGTATAAAATAGTATCTGCTTTCCAGAGCCAAAACAGCCAACTGTCTTCAAAACTTTCAATTCCATATATCTAAATGTGCGATCTAATGTAATACTTTTAACAGTTTTATCATAGGGAAATATAACCGTGTTTGAATAATCGCTCCATTTTTCACAATCAAGCGAGAAACGGTATTGAAGTTCCAGGAATGTCCCGTTTCCAGCATCTTCACGGGGAACATAATCGAGTTTATAGATTTCACGTGCTTCTCCTAAATCAAATACGAGAGTCAAGAATTTTCCTGCTTCTGGATCGGCTTTGCCCTCCTCACCCCAATCTGTGTGCCACATACAACTTAAATCTCCATCAGTCAGTTTATGAACTTCTTGACTAGGCATGCATGGAATATTACATGACACCTTTACACCTTTTATAACGTCGTTGTAAGGGTCACCTTTTGTTGTAGCTTCGACTATTTCACTCCATTCAGAAACTTCAATGTCTGTACTAGATCGAATTCTAAATAAATGTTTAGATTTATACTTAAGCCCGTGGAAAGTAAACGTATTTCCTTTGACGTTACTATATAAAGTACCATCTTTATCTATGTCATAGTAGTCAGCTTCTGATATTGGTTCCCAGTTCAAAGTTATGGACGTCGGAGTTATATCATTCTCAGGAGCATTAAAATCCAGCGGTTTGTGTAATTTATCGTTTTCATTCGTCGCACCAAAAACTTTGCTCGAATTTGTATAACCCTTGATTTTTATATGAATTTCACTACAAGTGACATCGACACTCGCAATTTTAATCAAAATGAAGGTTTGATATATTTTTTCACCTGCCAATGAAAAAAGGTATGGATTAATAACAAAGTTTTCTTTGAATATGTATACGTTATCATTTTCTTCAAATTGTTTTTCGGTTTCAGCATGAACCATTTTTACATGATCACCATTAATGGCTGCTTTTATTCTTTCCGGTTTGTCTGAACATTTTATTTGAAATAACGTTTTTCTTTGTTTCACCATTCCTTTATACAAGCCACGAGATTTTTCAACGTTGATATACAATGTGCTTTTTTCATTTAATTTTGGACCTTCCATGGTAATGAGACAGCTGCTAGAAATGTCTTGGACGTAATCTAAGGTTAGACCGTCATCTTCGTACACTTCAAAACTAGATTTTCCATCAGGATACAAGGTAAATATTCTATTGTCTCGTTCTATTTGGTAAGGGTTGTTATTTGGATTAGTCATAGGAATAATGGCTCCACTTTTTATAAATACTGGTATTTTCCATAATGGGCACATGAAGCTATTCAAAATAATACCACCCCTGTACTTTTCGCCAGTGAAAAAATCTATCCATATTGAATTTTTATCTGGTAGATAGATTTCATTTCGAATGGTAGTACCATTTAATGTTTCTCCGTTATATATAGGGGCGACCAAAATATTTGGACCCCACATAAACTGATATTGAACAATAGTAGTGTAAGCTAGAACGTCGTTTGGAAATTCAAGAAACATCGCTCTGAGCATCGGTAATCCATCAATTGATTCGCGGCCAATTGTATAATTATAGGGCATAAGCATTGACTTCAATTTTAAGTAAGCTCTGTTGATATTTGTTGCTTCATCGTCGTATGCGAAAGGGGTTTTTGTTTTGTCACCCCATCCATCCATGTTCAACTGCAGAGGTGTAAATGTTTTCCATTGATAATCCCGTATATTCACAGTTTTTACTCCACCTGCATAAATGCCATCCATATCAGAGCTGATGATCGGTTGTCCAGAAAGGCCAGATCCGATGTAAGTTGGTATGTGGAAACGAATATATTCCCACTTCCCTCCTGCTTGATCTCCACTCCATATGCCAGAATACCGCTGGGTACCAGCCCAACCATCTACCATTATTATCATTGGTCGTGCATTTTGCTTTGTTTTATTTAGAAATATTTTAGTAGCGTCTTCTACCGCAGATAAACCAAACGAATACCCACTTCCTATCCAAGCTACATCACATTTAAGTGCTACTACTCCAGCTATACCAACTTCTTTGCCCAAGTCTCTTTCTCCTTTTTTAGGATGGTCAGGATCAGCAGGATGTAAATTAGATTCAGTCCATAGTGCTACTTCCACTCCGTTTAACCTGGAGTAGTCAGCAAATTCTTTTAAATTTTGTATATCGCCATCTAAAGAATCTGTTTGGCCATATCCACAGCCGTAACCGTCATTAGGGACGAACCAGCCTAAAGGCATGTCATGTTTCTTGTATCTGTCAATCATTCCTCGTGCAGAGAACTGGTAGTTATTTTTTTCTCCATTTAATGATTCTAATATTCCGTTCTTATCACCTATTTGGTCAGGCTGATAACTTTTGTAATATTTTCCATCTTCAAACAGTACTGCTCGAGGGGTATCTGCAGGTACTTCAACCCAATAATCTCTATTGAAAGCATTTAAATGTGCTTCATAGAACGCGTACTCCGGCATAAGAATAGGGCGTCCCGTTAGTTCATAATAATCTTTCAGTATATCTTTTGGTTGGGAATTTATAAAAAAGAAAGCATCGAAATCTTCACCTCTGTGAATTGTTTGTACTAAGTGCGGCGATTTGTCACCAAAGTCATATATTCCAGGCTGCCACGTATTTCTCAATACTCCGTAGCCATATGACGACCAGTAAAAAGGGTTTGGAGAAGTAACACCCCCGCTAACCCAGTTATTTGTGTTGACGATATTAATAGTTTCTCCTTTATGTGAGAATCTTCCGTTTTGCATACCACCACCATAGAAATATTCGTCTTTATTTTGGTGTAATCTCTGTGTCGATTTATAATGGTAATATGATATTGAACGTAATTCACGTAGGACAGTTTTATCGTTTCTTTTATCTCGAAATGTCATTGTGCCAGCGTTCTTATCGAACAATAACTGAATTTTATGGGTACTAACGATGAACGTGCTATTATTATCGTCCAGTATAGACTCATTGAAAGCTTTCTTTCCATAATCTGTAGTTTTTTTCAACACAATTTTGGCAGTGTCTTCAGGATTCACAGGTTCTGGGTATTCACTGAACATTCCTTTAGGGGACATGTAAAATCTGATAACGTGGCTATTCAATATGTATAGCCGTGCTTGTTCTCCAGAAGCATAGTAAATAGCATAAAAGTCATCTTCCTTACAAAAATAAACAATATTGCTCAATGTTTTGGATTTAGAGATTTCGTTGCTTGCCATTTTCTATGTATTCGACGCCTCTGGATTACTTGATGATGTTTGCATTCACCATTTGGCAAAGATTGATAACTGGAATAAAAGTTAAAACAATTAAAAATATAAAAAAAATATACTTGTAAGATTAGCATGGCTATAGAATGAAATGGTTATTTACAGTCACATAGCATAGCAAAATATTGGGGCTAAAATATAATAACGCGAAATTTCTACCAGCATGCCCACAACAGGAAAAAAATAATACAATAAGGTAGTGTGTACTTCCTAAATAAATATACTTGTAAGATACTTGAAATATACTTGTAAATTACAAAGGGGAATTATAAAACGATCGACTAAAAAAGAACTTAGCGACTGATGATGGCATACTGTTTTAATAACTTGAGTGTTATGAATTTGAGTAAGCGGAAAATTAACTTAACCAACGACGAATATTGATTAATGATCAATTTCAAAACGAGCTTACAAAAAGTGGGTTATGTTTAATCCATTTTAGATATTATAATTTTGTCCATGCGACTACATTACTAAGTGAGCGACTAGATATACAAAGAGAGCAACTATAATATTAAGATAGATTATATTTTTTCCAACTGAAGTTTTTCCCAACGAACTACTAAAAAGTTCACTTTAAGCAAAGTTTTGTCTGCTTCATTATAAATGCATTGTTTACTGTTGGTTTTTATTTTGATATGATTTCTTAATGAAATAGCATCTAATCCGACCAAAAAAGTATATTTAATTTGCAACAAACTTTCGAAAGATTTAAACTGCACTGATAGCTTATTATAATTATTTTTATATGAGCTCATAATCTTATGTTCATTGTTGTATTTTTCAAAATGATTTTTGTATTTGAAACACTTTATATAAGATAATATGCCGCGCAGTAAAATAAAAACATTTGCCAAATATTGATAACAATGCAGGACGTAACGTTGGCGCTCAAACAAATATTAGGTCGTTCAAATATTAAGAAGCATCTCATTGTGTATTTTAAGTAACTCAAATTAATGTTTATCAGTTGCTGTTCTGTTGATTTCTCATCTTCCGCAGTCAGTCGCTCACTTAGTAATACTATGACATAAATTAATTATATTTGACACTTCAAACTTTAATTTACAGTCACTCATTTTAATACTACCCAATTACAAATAAATACAAATACCGGGAAAGAGTTATAATAGTTACATATAATATATATTATTATTTATATAATGTTTGCACAATTATGTATTTTTATTTTCTTTTTCCCGGTATTTGTATTTGTTTTTATATTCCATATTAATTTATTTAGGAGGTACACACTGACTACCTTATTGTATTTTTTTTCCTGTTGTTGGCCTGCTGGTAGAAATTTCAATTTGAAATAAGCAGTGCCCTTGTACTAATGTCTGTTACATTTGTTCATATGAAATTGTATGTGTGTACATAATAAATAAATAAAAATAGTTGTCAAACTACTATTACACTATATAGCAGTTTGACAAAACTACTACTTTTTGCCATGAGAAATATAATATTAAAGTTGTTATTGATAATAATTCAGAAACCGGCCGTATAAGAAAATAAGTCGAAATCAACAGGCCAGCAAGTGAGACAAATAAATACAGATAATAACGTATTGCCTAGAATAAAACTCAAAAAGTCTTTTTCATTAAGAATATTTTCCAGTATAGAATTGTGAATGCAAAATTGATCAAATATAATAGCATTTTCAAGTAAAATTTCTCAATTACACACTGCGTTTATATAAATATACTATTATAATTATTAGAAAATATACATTGCTCAGATTCCAAGATGAGTTGCAAAAGCATTATATGTATTATATAGTATCTAAGACAATGTACTACAACACCTAGAATCGAGACATTTTCTTTTTCTATGTTGACCCGACCGGAAATTGAACCCGGGACCTCAGATATGGCGACACCTTGAAACCGGCATGCGAACCACTTGGCGATTTTCATTAATAGAGAATATAAAAAAAAATACATGTACTGTCGAATTTTATGTTGGAATTCACAATGCTATATTTATATTTATGTTAAAAAATAATGCAAACTAATTTTCTTTAAGAGGAAAACGTTCTGAAAACATGAGCACGTTATGTAATTCTCTCGTTATAAAATAAAGTTCATTTGAAGTTAACGTCTTTGTTCACACGCTGGCCCGCGTCCGCCATATTGAAGTTTCTACAATAGCCATGTCGCGATGAAAATCAAAAGAGGGATATATCAAAAAACAATACCATGTTAAAAATATATACTCTTATAGAAAAATGCCTGATTTTACACTAACCAAGACTAATTTACTGAACAGGATGAGAGAGTATTAATGAAATTTCTATTTCCATATATATATAGGTACATATGATATATTTGATCAATTTTGGATTTTGAATGCTATACTGAAAAATGTTTAAAAATCTACTTTGTCCCTGGCACTCTGAGATGGGCTCGAAACCACGACCTTTCGCAACTGTATTCGGGCGACTGCTCTAACCACTGAGCTACCCAGGATCTTTTTTGACGCTGAAAAACGCGTTACGCATCCCCCCAGCGCGGGGTCGGCGAGTTATGTGGGACTCCTTGCGGCGCCACCCCCGAGGGGGCTAGACAAGACCCACTAAAACTCAGCGATGTCCCTCGCATGGAAGGCCATGCACGGGATCGACCCGACGGCTTGCGACATTCGAGATGCACTTCCCAGACAGGGAGTGCGTCTCGAATGTCGCACGCACTCCCCAAACTGGGCGGGCTACTGAGATACGCGAGGCGAGTACGAGGCTACGCTACGCACCAGTCGTCAGGTAAGTCCCCAAGTAAGTACCACTAGTTGTGTGTGAATTAATGAAAGTTCTATTTCCATATTTGAATTCTCTAAGAATATTCGAATATTTGCTTTATAGGTAAATAGGTGTTTTGTTTGAAAATAAGTGTATAAAATAAGATTTCAAGACATTACTACATAGTATAAAACAAAGTCGCTTTCTCTGTCCCTATATACTTATGTATGCTTAAATCTTTAAAACTACGCAACGGATTTTGATGCGGTTTTTTTCAGAGATAGGTTAATTCAAAAGGAAGGTTTTAATGTATAATACAAGACCGCTCGGGCGAAGCCGCTGGCGAAAAGCTAGTTAACAATAAGTTACAATTAAACTTACTAGGTACGCACTTCGTGCAGGCGACGAAATTTTCACTCTAATTAGTTAATAGTAGATAAAAACATTTAGACCGGCAGCGAAGTTGATTACTAACTGCACTGATATCAACTGATACGTTTACATGCTTTTTGATATTAACATAGGTAGCCTATTACAAACAATATAAGTAAGCATACATATAGGTCAGCAGCTACGATTTCAGTTTATTTGTGCTTTGTAAATATTATTAAACAATAAACATACCTATTATTTTGTACCTTCTTATCTATGACTCATCGACGCTACGTTGTACAACTTGCTACATGTTTGCTACTATCGATTACCTACCGTGACTCTACAATGCTACATTATGTGACGTAAATGTGAATATACTTTTACTTTTCGGTTAAATGCTATTTGGTGCTGTGTGTATGGTATGGCTCCATATAAGTAAGATTCCTGTGCCTGGTAAAATAAAGCATTTACTAAGGCTACACGCGCACTGGGGATTTTAAGCCACTAACCTTTTTATATCTTGTCTTGCTGGTTTATACGTATTTAAGTTGTAAATAGATTTTAACTTTGAGTACGAGTAAAAAAAAAAAAAAGATTTATTGTTAACTAAATGTACTTAACCAGTTATAAGATCAGTTCGGATTATTGTATCTTAAAATTATCACCTGGTGAATTGAACAAATTTTTCACGTAAACTGGCTAAACCGGTAGTTTGTACCTTAGGTTTTTACCAAAGATTTATTAATATGGTTGTAACTTGTCTGTGAAAGTAGATTCATTAAAAGTTTAGAAGAAGACTTTTTGTCTTCTGTTACTGTAGTTGAGAATATTCTAGACGAAATTAGTATAATATGTGGTGTGAAATAATTAATGTTGACTGATACAAAGAATCAAAATCTAAACAAATTAATTAATAATTCCGATTTTAAAATAATGTTTCATTTCAAAATTATGACTTACATATTAGGGATCAAAGAGAGTTTAGAGTTTAAAGAAATAGTTGAGAATAGTGCAAAGAGAATTTAAACCATAAAGCAAGTAACGTTTTAAGAATAAAAATTAGTTCTTGAAATCAAACTAGATGTCACTAGCGAATTTCAGACAATTGTCTATGATATTCATTCAAATTTTCTTTCTGACAAGCAAATTTAAAAATACATATACTTTATTAACAATATTCTTCTAAATTTAAAAAAAAATATTTTGACCCAACATTATTTATGCAGGTTATATATGTCGCATCATCTTTACGAAGATTGTTTCATTTAGTTTCTTTTATTTTAATTGCTAGTTACTCGATTACTTAATTACTCGACTGTAGAGAGAGCGTGATCATCGATACTTTTAATTTTATTAGAATAGTGACACTGACTTTGACAGTTCGTTAACAAAAAGCAAATTGCCGCCATTTTGACCAATTTTGACAGACATTCTGTTTCCGATCGCCGAGGAGTAAAGACATCCGACGACATCACGCTCATCTCGTTATATTTTCGTGTGAAAAGTGATAAAATGGAACAAATCCACGTTGGTATATACGCCTGCAGTGCTATTTTAAAGATAGTCCCCCGATATGGACGATCCATTTGGGCTTCGTAACATAGCAGTTAGTTAACTCAATCAGTCATTCTAAATATAATTGAACCCACCCGAACCCACTTGAAGATCGGTTTTTAATTGCATAAAACTTTGTATAACATAAGCATTTCTCCTTGAACATGATAAATACTTAACCAAAATAACCAGACCTACTTTTGAATTAAATACTTTTCATTAAGGACAAAGGGCCTCGCAAAGACCTGCCACCCGGAGCCTCGCAATGGCTAAGGCCACCGCTGTTTAAACGACAAAACTGCTTGGTGTTAAATATGGCTTATTTTTATGTAAAGGTATTAAATTATTTATCGGTGAGCTTGTTTGACATGTGATTTATTAGACGTAAATACTATTTTAATTTTATAATTTCTAATATTGTAATGGAAAGTGACTTCTTATTTTAATGAAGTAATTTTTCAATCTTGACGCTCTGTATGAAATAAAATTCGGTAAATATTCTCGGTACAAGGTCTCTCGCCGTAGATTTACGAATCGATGGCGTAGCTCTCGACTTTCACAAGTACTTGTAACATCCTAGATTGAATAAATAATTTTGATTTGATTTGAATAACGACACCGCCACAGTTAACTTGAATGCAGGCCACCAAATGTACCAATTTAGTACATTTTGTTTGACTCATTGCTAATGGACGGTGTTATAGTAAATATACATATATGAAGCGAATTTATACGATTCACTGCGCCTTAATTTCAATATTTATTCTTCAAACAGATTTCTGCTTCATTTAACCCTCAACCCTATATACAGGATAATGGGTAATTAGACCGGATCCTTTTAATGGGTCGTAGGGGAGGGTTACAAGTCATTTACAATTATTTTCATCTCACATTATGTATCCGAAAGTGAGCCATTTTTGTAATAAATTGTATTTTTTTTCTTTAAAAATCGAAAAAAAAAATTATGTCCAGAATCTAATTTTCTTGACAGTTTTGAAGAGATAATATTGCAGTTCATGCGAAATAATAAAAAAACCCAAATAATCTTGACCCAAACAGAAACAACAGAGTTTTAAATAAAAAAAAAAAAGATTTTTTGTTATTGTAAATTTGCAAACAAAAGTGCATTAAAAAAAAAAACTTTCGGATATATAATTTGGGATGAAAATAATTATAAATTCCTTTAAAACCTTCCTACGACCCCTTAAAAGGATTCGGTCTAATTACCCATAACCCTGTATGTAATATCTATGCCTTATCCATAACCCTATCCTTCTAGGAATGGCGGTTCTGAGAATTTTTAACATCGTTCAAATCGTAACACGACGACTCGATTCACGAAGACAAACTCAGGCTGATTTCTAAAGAAATTGATTTCATCTATCGACTAGTACTATATATCGATTTTTAAAATCAATATTTTTCATAAATGATTAATGATGAAGTATTAAAAAAAACGAAAGCACTAAAAAAGTACCTCCTCTTTGGACTGAATAGACCAAAGACAGTTATTTCCGGTCCTTTTAAGTAACATATTAAAAACCTGAAAGTTCGAAACTTAGATATCAATACAAATACGAAAAAGTACAAATAATATAAGTTGTTTATTGAGTTTTGAAAACTAATTTAGTTTTAAATATGAAAGAAAACAGGAAAGGTTGTCATGGAGAAATCAAGAACGTACCGTAGCGACATCTCGTTTGATTTCGGGAACTAATGTTTTTTTTTAAATAATTCCTTTACATATTGGACTATAAAGTCAAATGCAGATCGCCCATCTCTATATCCTTTTTCGACTTTTGTTTTAATGATGTGGTGATTCATTTATTATACACATTAATTAATCGATTATATTATTATTCGTTATTGAAAATTAATCAACAATAATCACTTCATGTCTATGATTATTAAATATTTTTACCCAATTTTAAAGGCATCCAAGTTAATGAAATATACTTAAAAACCCATTTTAAGACAATGTTTACCATACCAGTATTGTGAATGCAAAATTCAAAGAATGAAATTAGCTGTACCCGCGATTTAAGCGTGGAAAGTAGCATTAGTACATAAGCTATCTTCCAGTGAAAGTCCCGTCAAAATCGATCCAGCTGTTTCAGAGATTAGCCGGAACAAACAGACAGACAAAAAATATTATTTTGATATAGGTATATACCATATATAGATACATGTGCGTTTAGTAAGAAACGGTTAATTTGAGTTAGTTAAAATAAAACTGTAAGATCCGTTTATTCATTCATTGGAAGTTCCCCGACCAAAAAGTAAAGTCACCTATTTGTTCGTGCGAGTATTCCAGGGTTGTCATAATAAGTAATAGAAAATGTACTAATAATGTTCAAAATTCAAAATAATCTTTATTTAAAAAGACATCTTAAAAGTACTTTTGAATAGTCCAACATTTTTTCCCATTCTCGATCCGCTAAGGGTTGATAAGCCATCGAAGTAAAGTAAGGAGGTACTCTACTAACATTTTAAACTATTCTTATTGCTAGCGTTTTAAGAAATAATCGACTGTTAATTTTCGATTAGGAAATAATAATCGATAATGATTATTAAAAAAAAAATCGATTAATGTGTAATCGATTCCGCACACCATTATTTTGTTTGTTGGTTCTAGTTGAGTCAGCGAAAAATAAGTGAAACAATTATCTTTGAAATTTTCAATAAAATTTGGTGATCGGTGATAGTGCATTTTTAACAAAATAAAGGTACATTGTTTTTATTTCGACAATAAAAATGATTTCATAAAAAAAGCTTTGTCATTGTGTAATAACCTAGTTATGGCCGGTTAAAATGAATTTTACTTTCAGATGTTTCTAACACGTTCCGAGTACGATCGTGGTGTGAATACATTTAGCCCAGAAGGAAGGCTATTTCAAGTAGAATATGCCATTGAGGCTATCAAGCTTGGGTCGACAGCCATTGGTATTTGTACTTCGGAAGGTGTAGTTTTGGCTGTTGAAAAGAGAATTACCTCTCCTTTGATGGAACCGACAACTATCGAAAAAATTGTAGAAGTGGATAGACATATCGCTTGTGCTGTTTCTGGACTGATGGCTGATTCTAGGTAAGTTAGCTCACTTAAGTTCTTTTATGCAAATTGCTTTAGGCAACCTCCATTGTAGACTGACTAGTACGCCGGTTTTACGGCATTTTCATCTCTAAGATCCAGGATTCGATTCCCAGTTGGGTTTCAAATTTGGAATCTATATCATCTCAGGTTGGGGAGTTGTGTTACTTTTTGTTGTTTCAGTATGCCTTGGTACAGATGCGTAATGCAACTTCTTTTGGGATCTGAACAATATATGCAATGATGGCTAATATCTATTGATTTACAGGATTAACTTTACTGTAAGATGTCTTTCCATCGTTCAGTACAAATCTTTAAATAAATTTGCAATACATGTAAGGCAAATTTTTCATCAGTGCACAAAATGTTGTATTCCATAATTGATATTGCATTTCCTGTATACATATATGAATATTGTCATTTTTCAGAACATTGGTAGAGCGTGCCCGTGTCGAATGCCAGAACCATTGGTTTGTATACAATGAGCGCATGAGTGTAGAATCTTGTGCACAAGCTGTGTCCAACCTGGCTATACAGTTTGGAGACAGTGATGATGACAGTGGTACTGCTATGTCGAGACCATTTGGTGTTGCAGTCATGTTTGCTGGTATGTGATTAACTATTAATCCTTAAAGTAAGAAAACATCATTCTAAAAAATATATAAATACATAATTACTAAATAATTATTCAGCACCAGGGTTCACTGATAAATATCATCACATATATATTTTTATTATTAAATTTTCCATCTGAGACTTGATACTTGAACTAACAATTCAACAGCTCTAGCAGCTCAGAAATTGCAGCTTTTCATATGCATATCCAATAAGTCTCAAATATAAGATATTTTGATATTTATTATATCAGTATTTTTTTTAATTGAAATCAAATTATGCCAAAAGAAATTCTGTCATCTTAGTATGTCATTATAAATTCGGACCTATATATATTTGGTAAATTGAAAATAATCAAACGGAGGAAACCTTATACTCTTATTATTAATTGATTGCAGGTATTGATGAAAAAGGCCCACAGCTGTTTCACATGGATCCTAGTGGTACTTTTGTCCAATATGATGCTAAAGCTATTGGATCTGGTAGTGAAGGAGCGCAACAAAGTCTTAAGGTAAAAACATTTTCATAGCTAGACAATATTGCTTTACATATTTGAACTTGTTATAATTTTCAAATACACCAATTTAAGTATTTCTTATACATATTATTTTAATATTATTTTGTTATAGGAAGTTTACCACAAGTCCATGACTCTCAAAGAAGCTATCAAATCAGCACTTACTATTTTAAAACAAGTGATGGAAGAGAAACTCTCTGAGAACAATGTAGAAGTTGTTACTATGACTCCAGGATCATTCTTCCACATGTTTACAAGAGAGCAGCTTGCTGAGGTTATCAAAGACATCCCATAAATTAAATTTGTAGAATTGTGTATTAGCTGGTCTGAAACCTATATGTATAGAAATTTCATTACATATTATTTCAAAAGTATGTCAACTTTAAGTTGTGGTAGCCACTGCACCTTATGCACAGATAATAATTTAAACTTACAATTTATTTCCTTAACATAGATCTTATAAACATGTCTGTGCCTCAAAATTATATCATCAATTGAAGTAGTCTAGAAAAAAAGATCTGTATATATTTTCAATTACATGTTTTCAGATCATGGCTAATGTAAGTTTCTGTATGTCATAGAGTAATATTTTAAGAAAAATATACTTCATTAGTTATAAAATAACATTCATCATTCCTTTACTATCAAAGCAATTTAGTAAATTATTTTTATAAATTTAACAAAATTCAATTTGTATACTTTATTATTATAGATATTATAGGCTTGTATTGAGATTTCATTTATATTTGAAATATTACTCTATGACAGTGTGGTTGATGTTTGTATTTCAGTATAAGAATCGGTTGATTAATAATAAAAAAATTATACAAAGAATCATGTAGTATTTGTTGATATCATATCCTATATATTGCAGTTACAAAATAGTCTTCATTGAAGGTATTTAGATAATTATGTATAAAGTATTTACATTACACTCATCCATCTTAATAAGTTTTGGTTTTGATTTTATGGTTTTTTATGTAGAATCATTTTATTACTAGTAGTTTGGTTTCCATAGTATAATCAGGTTATAGCCTAGTTTTGTTTCTAAAGATGCTGGAATTCATTGTTTTATTGTCTATGAGTGATAACGAAATCCTTTGCCCCTAAGGAGACGATAAAATTTTCGAATCAATTGTTTAATGTAATATTGCTTGGACAGATGATAGCTGCTATTCCTGAACTTCAATGGAGCGAAACAAGTTCCAGAAATACGATTCAAGAGCTATCCAGGCTTCGGTTGGGAAGGCAAACCGTTTAAATTTTACCAATATGTAATACAAATGTACTTTGAATATCCCACTGAATATTCTTTCTCAGCTGAAATACATAAAAAATAGAAGTATCTAAGCTTTTTTTAACGATTTTATTAAAAAGTTTAAAAAATATGTATTCTTACATAACTATTCAAAGAAAACTTTGGCTTAACAGACTGAAGTTGCTAACCAAATGAAGTCTATCTAATTTATTGAATATTGAGGACAATATATAGAAATAGCAAAAACCTACCCAATAGGGATGATGACTAATTTTTGTTTGTTTGTCCGTCAGGTAGAGTGTTAAAAAATATTAAACACGTATTTTTTTATTTTTTTCGTAATCATAAAATTACGGCGTTACATTGAGTTGAAATTTCGCATGACGTCACGTTAGTACGTTTTCTACTCAACTGTGACGTAGCGAGCCCCCACTCCTCAACTTTAATGCCTGTTATCTAAGCTATTTCTTGTTAAATTGAAGTAAAAAAAAATACGTATCTAATATTTTTCTATTATCTGACTGACGGACTAAATAGAATTGCATTTTTTTTACCCAGTCATCATCCCTATTAAAAAATAAAAATAATATGAATTACTTAATGGAATTCTGAAAGTATCTGACTTTACCCAGTAGATAACCAAAGCTATTTTTTCCACTTTACCAATGATTCTTTTACCTAAATAAACTTATTACAAATATTTCACCAAATACGACTCCAAATCCAGTGGACTCACAGTAGGTGCAAACCTATCTACAGGCACACCGTTACGATCCACGAGGAATTTGGAGAAATTCCATTTTATAAAATCCCCAATCATGCCAGACTGAGAGTTCTTTAGGAATTGCCATAAGGGATGGGCGTTTTCTCCGTTAACACTGATCTTTTCGAAAATATCGAATTTCACGCCTCTATTACTGATAAACTTGAATATTTCTTCTGCAGAGCCAGGCTCTTGTCCACCGAACTGATTACACGGGAAGGCCAGTATACGTAGACCTTTGTCTGAGTACTTTTCGTAGAGCTCGTTGAGTTGTTTGTAGTTGGTGTCTGTTAGTCCACACTGGGAAGCCACGTTGACAATAAGAACTACATAGCCCTTGTATTTTTCAAGCTTAATTTCTTTGCCGCTTAAGTCTTTAACTGTGAAATCGTAGATTGTCTTTATTCGTTTGTCTTTTGGAGATGGCGTTCTGAAAAATGTTGAAAAAATATAGGTATAAAAAACTAGCTAACTATATAACGATATATACCAAAATAGGTTTTGATATAATTTAAAATCATCAAAAGATTTCTTTTTATAATTGCACGACTTTTCTGTGATTAAAATGTATGAAATCAAGCGAACGGCGTCTTTACTCTCGATGCGTTTGTATGGGAACCTAAGCGGAGGTACAGAGGGTCTAGCTAGACTATAATTTAACTACAAATAAGTTTTATTTAGTTCTAGGAAATGTAATATTTATATAAATATATAAAGTAAGATCTTATCATTGATATTCAACAATTACCTATATACCTATTTGATAATAACAACAAAGGAACATTATTTGATATCGTCCGTGTTAAATAAATATAAACATTGATTAAAGGTTTGTAGTCCATTGTTAGTAATTTATATTTACGTTACTGTCTGTACCTATTAGGAAATTGACCCCCTTATTATATTTGAAACAATTATACATTGTCTAAATGGAAAATGATTAAAAAACCCACTTTGTCCCTGGCACTCCATCTCAGAGTGGATTTTTAAGCATTTTTCATTAAGAATATATTTCGGTATAGCATTGTGAATACAAAATTTATCAAATATAATAATTAAAGCTTTTAAATAAATCGCTTCCCGCTGTCTGTACACTGAGATCTATTAAGCTACACAATAAATTTTATTGCGATTTTTATCAATATACAGTGATTCAAGAGGAAGATTATATATAATACTAGCTGTGCCCGCGACTTCGTCTGCGTGGGAAGTATTTTGGTAGAATTCTTTTTTTGCTATGAATACAGACGAATCGAATAAGATCAATGGACCATAAACCTATACGCGGGCTTAATGCGGATCGGTGGGTGTTAACGTTGCTGATGTAGCCAGAACTAACGGCTTAGCGTGCATTATGCTATGTTGTGTACAGTGCTCAAGATAATAATGTTTTGGTCACCCATCCTGTAAACAGTCCTTACGAATGTTATTTATCTATTTGTTCTCGTTTCTCGTGCTCTGGTTGTCGCTTGTGTCTGAGCATTTTATTCGTACCTTTAAACGGTCCTTCTTTTGTTTTTGATCTTTTTAAATTATTATTATTTGTCTAGTTGTATGCACAATCGGCTATTTATTGTTCTATTTTTCATGTAATGCTAGTGTGCCTGGAAGAAATCGCTGGCTAGCGATGAGTTTGTCGTTTGTACTTATTTATGTAAAATAAGTATTCATGTATGTCCTTGTTGTGCAGTATTTATTTACTTATTTAACTGTAATTTAAACCAAATGCGCTAACCCACCACATCATCGGACCCCTTATACCTGAGCTATACTAATATTATAAAGAGGAAAGATTTGGTTGTTTGTTTGTATGCATCGAATTTGCTCCAACACTACTGGACCGAAAGTTGCAGAGCGATTCCGACCTACGGGAAGCTACATCAGACGCGCATGTCATAGGCTATAATTTTGCGGCAAGGTCGTGGGAAAACAGCTAGTTCATTATACCCTGTGAAAACTTATCTGCGATACGCCTGTGGAGTATGAAGTCAACACTGGTTGGCGATAATCGAAACTACTTTCTCGATCTCTATTGTGCAAACTTTGAGCTCTTTCAGAGACCAAGAGCATTTCCCTATCAAAAGAAGTTTTATACTCATACCATACTGCATGTATGTAAATGCTTCAGATTCAACTTTATAGTGCATGAGCCTCGCTATGGGCAGTTAAATACGCTTCGCGTTTTTCAGGTGTCTCCCGAGACCGAGCGCTTTCTGTCTGATCTCTTTCTTTGTCTATAAAAGTCGGTCAGTACATGTCTGACGGAAGATACGTGGAGTTTTATTTATTGATATAATAAAAATATATACATATTTTAATTTCGACTTTCCACACTCGAAGGAAATCGTCTTCTAACATACTTCCGTGAGGTGCTTAACTGAGCTTCTATCAGATTTGAACGGCCCTCATCATCATCATCATTAGCCCTTTTACGTCACCAACTGCAGGAGCTCAGGCCTTCCTTATGGATGGTTAAAGAGGATGGGCCACGACCCTCCATGCTGGCCCAATGTGGACCAATCGCTTTGCATGCTTTCCGAAGCTTGGAGTTGCTTGAGATAATATTTTTTGGTCATCCATCCTGTGCCCGACTTTTGCGAAAATTGCTTAACAACTACAATCGCGGGCCATGGCACTTATTCACTTCGCCACCGAGCTACTCTGAACCGACCCTCAGACTCGCGTAATATTATAGAGAGAGTAGAGTGTTGTGACCAATGAATAAAGCATTGTTTCCAGGGAAGACTGAAAATACCAACTTTGAAGTACGTATCTACAGCAATTTGTATGTTAAAAAAAAAACAAAAAGATTATTAACATAAAAAAAAAATAGCAATAAGAGAAAAAAATATATATAACTCGAGTTGACTTTACGTTCTTAACTTCAGTTGACGTGAATCTAAGTTTTTTAACGTCGTGGAAAAACTTCTGATATTGTCTCTGTTACCTGGCAAGCTACAGGGGTGAGTAAGATTCTCCTCCGTGAACCCGACACTGAGCTGCCCGGTGGTTCCCCAGAGGGCTGCCCACCAAGACCCGTACTCTACACCTTCTCATGGGAAATGAAAACCGGCAAGCTATGGCCGAGTCACCAGGACACTCAAGTATTGGACCAGATGGAAAATTGGAGAGACTCGGGTAAATCGATTGCCTCTCCCAGACAGACGAAACCGTGCAATGCGGGAGCGGCTGCCAACCACCTCCGCTGGCCCCGACGACGACGTGAACCTAATCTGATAAAAATATGCGTTCACTGTAAACTACTCGAGGCTTAATTGCATCATCAGAAGGCTCTTTCCGCTTGTTCTCCTACTCGCGTGATCGTATACCACATGTCCATTATAAACTGAACCCTATTTAATATGATTGGCCATATATAAATGAGGTCAACTTACTTCGGAGTTGTCAAAATTTTGGAATCTTATTTTTTTATTTGTCATCATACAAATTATCATTTTATAGACAATATTAATTCGTAGCTCGGTGGCGCTACGGATAAGCGCCGCTGCGCACGATCGCTATTGCTAAGCAATTTTCGCAAGAGTTGTTCACGGGATGGGTGACCAAAAATTATTAAACAAAGGCCCGAGGCCCTGCAGTTTGGCTGTGAAAGAGTTAATGATGCTGATCAATATATCAAAGACAATTTAATAAAACAGTTAATATTTCATAGCAATTTTGGCGACCACGTCACTTCAAATTGACATAACTTTTTTATTTGTGAACCGATTGAAATAAGTCTTACACTAAATGTTAACGGAAGAATGCCGCAATATAATAGTGAAAACTGCATTGAAATCGGTTCAGCCGTTTCTGAGTTTATCGTGCACAAACGCACAGACAAACAGACAAACCGACAAACCGACAAACAGACATAAAATTAAAAAATCATTGTTTTGTGTTCTATTACTCTTATAAACGTCCCTCATAACAGTTTTTTTCATATATCTTCAATGTACAGACATCGATCGGTTACGTTTTTATTATAGTATATAGATATGACCATGCGGGCCAAATCTCTGGAGGAAAGCTAGTTAAACTTAAAAGAAACCTTACTTAATCTGCTGCTTTAGGTATTGCGTCATAAAATCTGCTATATACACAGAAATCTAACGCCATAAAAGAAGCTGTAGTCTTAAACTAGCTAAGCTACACTTAAAACAGGCTAAGCGCAGGAGAGGGCTCCATTATTCTTAAATTAATCAGAGATATATTATACATTTATCAGATCATGATGCATCTGCTTGGGGCCAACCCACAGATCTTCATCCAGGTAACCATACCAGAATCTTTCTGTCCAAAAGGTCACTGATTCTTCTCATTATGTGTTTCGCTCAGTGTCATTTTACCCGAGTAATCCTTCGAGGAATGTCAGTTCTGTTAGTCTCCTATGGATCATTTCTAATTAGACCACGTAGCCCCAGGCCCCATCGCCTGCTGGGCAACACACCAATTTCTCCGAAGATTGTTCCGAATAATCTTTTACCCGAAAGTGGACTTACGTAACTGAACTGGCTGTATATAAAGGTTTATCAACGTCAGCTAGAACTACATGGGGCCTCAACCAAGAGGTTATAAAAACTATATACACAGCGGTGATTGAACCAATCGTGCTGTATTCAGCAAGCGTATGCGGCAGGGAAGCGGAAAAGATCAAAAGTAAGAAAGCGCTAAACGCATTGCAACGGGGGTTCGCGCAGAAAATCGCGAAGACTTATAGAACGGTTTCTCTAAATTCTGCATTAATATTGTCGGGGCTGCTTCCACTGGATCTTAGGATCCAAGAAGCATCCCGGCTTTATGAAGCAAAGCGCGGGAAACCCCAGGCAATATTAAGCGGCAGAAAAATAGAGGAGAGGGTATCCTTGCTGGAATCGAACCACCCCAGCAGCCTAAGTATGATAGAATATGAATGCTTGGAGAACGCAGAAGAGGATGGCAAACTGGCAGAAGGTCTTGTGAGGATCTATACAGATGGCAGCAAACTCGAGGGTAAAGTCGGTGCAGCCCTGACCTGTTGGAAAGGGGCTGTTGAGATCGCTTCCCGGAAGTTTAAGCTGGAGCCATATTGTACAGTCTTCCAAGCCGAGCTGTATGCCATCCTCCAAGCGACAGAATGTATGATGAGCAAAGAGTGGAAGGAGGTCGCGGTGCTTAGCGATTCGAGATCCGCCCTACAGTCACTGCAAGATCCAGACTCCTCGCACCCGATCACGAAGGCGATACAAGGCAACCTGACCCAACTTAGGGAACACGGCCATAAGGTCTCCCTAATTTGGATCAGGGCCCACGTCGGCGTGATCGGGAACGAGAGGGCGGACGAGCTGGCGAAGGGGGCGGCTCTAGAATTAAAATGTAAATCGCACTACGACGGTTGTCCCGTCTCTTTTGTTAAAAGGCATTTACGCAATTTGACAAAAGTAGAATGGGACGGCCGCTATAGAAGCGAGAGCACCGCGGCCACGACGAAGGTCTTCTTTCCCAGTGGAGAGAAGGCCTTCGGCGTCGTACGAAAAATGAGAATTGAAAGGTGGGCTGCACAACTGCTAACGGGGCATGGAGGGTTTAGATCCTACCTCTATAAATATAAATGCAAGGATACCCCATATTGTGAATGCGACCCGCAAATAGAGCAGGATGTATTCCATGTTTTACTGGAATGCCCAATTTTAAACGTAGATAGGCACACTCTACAATCACACATAGATACACAACTTAGTAGACCAAACCTGGAAAAGATAATGGAAAATATAAAAGAAAGAGACATATTTGTAAAGTATGCTTGTAAGATAATAGAGAAGATAGTGAAAAGAAATAAAGATTAATTGAATAGATGGAATACAAACAGCAAAGAAAATCTGTGATATTAGAAATAAGAAGTAACCTGTAAAAGAACAATATATATATGTAAGTTAAAAATAAAAAATGTAAACCAAATAGGTATATAAAAATATAAATGTAAAGTTATCAGATATAATTTTGAATAGAATAAAGAAAAATGTAAAATAATATAAGAAAAATATGTAATAATTAGATAAGAAAAATGTAGTAAACAATAAGATAAGCCAAAAGAGGGAAAAAAGAGCGATCCCCATAACAACAGATAAATCATATCTGTCTAAAGAAAATAAAAAACAAGCATAAAAATAAAAAAAAAAAAGACAAAAAAGACAACCTGCTCAAAAGTGGGGGAACGTGCATTAAAAAAAAAAAAAAAAACTGAACTGGCTGTTCTACAAGAGTATTCCCATTTTGAAACTGGAGTGGGTACAACACGGGCATTTGATATTCGACTACAGAACCTTAATAAGTAACAAAATATGACGCGATGTGTGGTTCGATGCGCGTTTGTTTGCGTGTATTTAATATGATATCACTTAGATAAAATTACCTTTCATTCCCATGGAACTCCCTGAAGGTTTTTACAGCTTCGAAGATGTCTTTCGCCATAACATCTGGCATTTCGAAAGCAGCAAAGTGTCCTCCTTCTTCTACCATGGTGCTATGTAAATAGTTTTTGTACTTGAGCCTCAACAGGCAATCGGGGAAAAATAAAAGCTCGTGTTTAAATTTGATGCCCCACGTTGGAACGTCTGTTGGAATGCTGTTGAAATGATATATATTATTTTTTAAAACTGCAAACATTCAACATCGTAGAGGAATAGAAAGCGGAAGAAAAATATGGAAAGTATCGTTTCTTGTCATTCTACACTAGTCTATGTAAAGACGCGGCGTAAAACCAAAAGATTGTCCTTGACTATCTCATTGCGCAAGGCAAGATGACGAATTGCTTGGCAAAAACGGTTTTTAATTAATTACTCTCAAACTATTACGATTACTGTAAAGTGAAGGTACTTAAATAATGTTGATTTTGCCACTAACTTTAATTTAAGCAAGACTCAAAAAGTTAAAATAATATTTTATCATAAACATTAACTTTCGAATTAGCATACTGATCGTTTAACTCCTATCGGTCAATTTGTCAATGACGCCTTTAAGCTCTAATGAATGTCACATTAGCATGGGTAATGTTGCTTTACTTTAAACTAACGAAAATTTTAAAGGGCGTTTGTGCAACTGGCTGTATATCGTTTAAATCTTTTATTTTGCGAAAGGGGTCTTGAATATAAGTTTTAAACGGTTTTATCGCATGTATTTTTGAAAGTTTATTTTCAAGTCTCTTAGAATTATTATTTGACGAATAACATCTCAGTCTAGTGAACATGGAACCTGTAAAGTAAAAGATCCTAAGTATCAGAAAAATGAAATAAATTTTCAATAATACACGTTATAAAGCCGTTTAAAAGCAATTTTATTTAATGATTAGTGCGAGTGAAAGGAAATGTAAGAAACGAGGTTTTGATTAAGTGTATATAAATGATAAATGTTTATACAAAGACGAAAACGTACTCATCTAATCTCATAGTTAAAGTCCTCGTACTAAATATTTCTGCATATGTCCTGATGCTGGTAGCGATACTGTTTGGGGCCCAGTACATCATCACATTGTCGAGGAGATGCGTCAATTGGAATTTGTCAAGCAATCTACCGTCTGAAGCGTTTATGAATTCTGGATTTGTCCACGTGGAGAATTTCTCTAGTATGTATGCCGCTAGACCAGCGGGTGAATCGGTCAGGGATATGCCTGTGAAATATACATAGCTTCAAATTTAAAGGTAATGTTAAGTTTTTGGAGTTTATTTCTGATTTTCGGTAACGATTTGCGAATGGTGTATAAACATACTTTGTTTTTGGTGTTAAAAAGTAAACAAATATTACCGTTTACTTAATTACATATTGACTTTTATGTGATTAAGTTTTTTGATATATGTCTCACCGAGTGTATCTGGTTTAGTGGCTTGTAGATGCAGATATCCGGTTTCTTGTAGCAGGCGAGCCACGTGTTCCCTTAACGGATACACGCGATCCTGTACCTCGTGTTCTACCAACATGCTGGGCCACAAAGATCCTGTGACAGTTGATACATTAAATACAAAGTAAACATCATCATCTTCAAACTTTTCACGTCCCCACTGCAGGGGCTAAGGCCTTCCTTACGAATCGTTAAGAAGGATGGGCAATGACTCTCCACACTGGCCCAATGCGGATCGGAAGGTATTAACGGCTGCTAATGCAGCCGGGACCAACGGTTTAGCGTGACTTCCGCAGCACGGAATAGCTAGAGATATTTTTTTGGTCACACATCCCGTGACCGACCTTTGCGAAAGTGGCTTAACCACAAATTAAAAACTACACTACCGAGCTCTCACTGTTTGTGCAATCGGTATAAAGGATACCACATGTTTTAGGTGGTTTTATGTATGATCATTGGTTACGACAGAACCAATAGATAGCGTCAACTGTGGTGTTAACATTATATTTATTATGAATGATATGTCATAGTGATATGTGTCATTGGTATTATGTACAGCCAAAAGCACGTCAGGTAATAATAAAGTGTAATTTTTCCACTCGACTTCAAACCTTAATTCATTAACAACGGATGTCGAAATCCATTGCGAATATCCGAGATATTGTGGTATGGTTACCTGATGTTACTTCATATACCTATTATTAGTTTTATTCAGATATATTTTTAAAGGAAGAGGACTGTTTTAACTTTTCCAAGGAATAGGATAGTTTCGATAGTGAAAAATAAGCCACGAAATTGCACAAAATTTACAATTAACATCGTAATAAACATAGAGATCTGATCGCACGAATATTTTAAATTTAAAAGTTGCGATTTTTTGTCTGTGTGTCACGTCACTTGAAACACGACCCGTCATTCTGTGTCGCCACTGCGCCGACAGCGCTCATATTAGTCATTAAGATGCATATCTTGCCTATGCCTATTAATTGTAAATCGAATTCCTAGATGGCGCTGTGCTTGGCTCATTTACATCCTTCTATTTCGTAATCGATCGTTAGATGGCATTGTTTTCGTTTTATTGACATCTTTTAATCTTCTACTCTATGCATCTGTTTTGTGCATAGAGTTAAGGTTTTGTGTACATGTCGCAGGCCAGCCAAGTGGTACAATAGGGTATTTGACACTATTAAAAATAAGTTGCATATTATGGTCATCCTGTTAGATAATAATCTGATAAAGTTTATTTCTTAAAATCTGCAGATAACATATGTTAATTTTAGTAAAATAACATAAAGAAATTGCATTATTTTAAAGAATTTCAATGAACGACGGAAACGCCCTGTTATTGGTTATCGTCGCAATAACCGAAAATGTCATGTCAAAACAGGGTAATTTTGTATTTATACATTCAATTTGTAGCTCATTTTAATAAACAAATCCAGAGTAGATACAAATACAAAACATATAACTTAACTTAAATTTCTCTTCTGTAATACTATTTGTTTACTTCGTAAATAAATAGTTGATAAATAGATTATGTCGTATGGACATATTTACCAGCATGTGACGTCACAAATACCACGTGATCAGCGTCTTTACATTGAGCAGCGTTTTTTGCGCGATTTTGGCTATTTAAACCTTAACAATTATTTTCATCAAAAATAGAACAGATTCTCATGAAATGTATTGATAGTGCGTTTATAATGTATCAAAGAACCATTTAAAATAATTTTCAGAATAGCGTCAAATATACTATCATAATGACGTTAGGAATATGACGGACAGCCTTTTCGCGGGTCTAATAAAAGTTTAAATGTTGATTAAACTTTAAGGCAATAAAACTACTATATATAAACAATTATTTCAAATTCAGTAGAATACCCTATTGTGGACGGGAGCGTGGTTTTCTGGGAGTGGTCAAAAGGCAGTTGCCATACCCAGCCAATCTCTCTGACGTTCCTACCTAAGGGGAGATAACCTTAGTCAGATTTATACGTAGCAAACCTAATTAAAGTGTGTTATAATTAACGTATCCAACCTTTGTTTGCATAATCGAATAATTTGATATAAAAGAATAACCTATTTTGTTAAGGAGCCTGAATATATGACCCATTGAATATTTTTTGTCAGTAATCCTAACCACAACAGGTTGTCGAGGTTGTTTGGTATCACCGAAAGGGGGCGCTTTAATAAATCTTTCCAAAAATAATTTACGAGTTTGCTTTTGATTCAAAGAAGTTTTTACATTTTAAACGTAAAAGATTCAGTAGAGCAGCCAAAATTTTTAAACATTGATTCTACACTCACCTAGCCACAAGTAAAACATAGCAACAGGACTAGTGTTAACGGGCATGTTAGTATGGAATCCCAGTATTTGTTCCGGGAACAGTGTCGCCATGGTGGAGCCGATTACGTGCCCAAAGTCCCCACCCTGTATATAGTACTGCGTGCGGCCCACACGTTTCATTAGGTTGCTCATCAATACTGCTGTCTCTACGGGACCGAAGCCTTTCCTTGCGGGACTCTAAAATATTTTCTTAGTAAAACCTCGTTCATTCATTACGTAAGACGATTTGGGGGAGAAGTGGTCGATCTATCCAGGTTAGACCAAGGGTGCGACCGCCATCTCTCTAATCATGATTCTGGCCATAGGATACGACATCATATCGATGTTATACCAATATTTCATTTTACTACTTTGACATGTGTACTTTAGTACCGACAAACAAATGATAACGAATGATGTTTATGGATTTAATAGCAGTGCTACCAACATAGTAATTTATCCCAAAATTATCCACCAAACGACATGTCAAAGTAACATGAAGGGAAATATCGTCATAACATCCCTAAGATATGACTTCTACTTCAGTGGATAGAATCAAGGTTAGTGAGTTAGGCGAACGTTCTGCAGGTGGGTTCTTGGTAGACAATTTTATGTAAGATAATAAAAATGTGGAAATTTAATTTAATTTCTGTTTATCATATAAGGCTGAGAGTTGTGACGCTTTTCTGTTGTCATTTTGTGAATCCTTATGGTTCAATATGACTTAGGATATGATATCATATTTATAGAGATATTCTTCTAAATAAACATTGCCAATTATGCATATTTTGTTTATTTGTATTTAACAGTAATTGGCTGGATTAGAAAAATTAACTTCAACTCCTTTTATTACAAACTTTTATTAAACATGCAATGTATGTATGTTCATCTATCTTTGCAAATTAATTTGAAAGTTATCTTCAACTGATGAATATGAATATGGCATATGACCCAAGACGGCCTAATATTTTTTTTTGTGTACTGCCATAACATGGGTATGAAATGGAACAGTTTGAATAAATTATTTTAATTCTAAAAATGCCTTGTTCTCATCCTAAATTTCAAATGAAAAGGTTTGCTGAGATTACAATCAAATTATTTAAAAAACCAAAGTAATTAAATACCCTAAAAATAATCATAACTATTAATTATTGTTTCTTTTTTATTTACCTGCGAGTATCCAAAACCTGGTAAACTGGGGGCTATGATCTCAAATACAAAGTTGTCCCCAGGCCGAGGAGTTGTAAGCTTTGGAATAAGCTCATAAAACTCCCTGATAGATCCAGGCCAACCATGCAACATCAAAAGTGGTAGAACCTGTAATTTTTTTATTTATAACAATTATATAGTTTGAAAATAGTATTTTTCATAAGCTGCATTGAATCAACTTTATAATGTATTTATATTTTAGGTTCGATGCTCTGTTTGAATAATCCTTATGGAATATGTGTGATGAACATGTATTTATGTTTAAAGCACAGATATTATATTGCTGCCAACTAGCTTATATGCCAATTCATGATTGCTATCCTGTTCTAGCTTTGATTCCTGGTCAGGTCAACATTGAAAAAGAGCACTATATTGTCTCGGGTGTGGGTATTATGGTCCCTTTGTTTATTTGGATTTTGATGATACAAGAGTTAAAAGCTGCATAATTTGGAATTTGGGCAATGTATGTGATGTGGTAAAATATTTATTTATTTATACTAGTAACTATTTATTATAGTCAGTAGTTAAGTAAGTGGTTTACAAGTTAATGTATATAAAATCAGCTTACAAAGTACCTGTTTACCTCAATATCAGCAGAAACTTTAGGCTTAACATGAATGTAATGTATATCTAAGCCTTGAATATTTGTTTTGTAGTGATCAAATTTATTAAAAAAGTTTTGTCTATCCTTGAAATTATATTTATTTTCCCAGTAATGTAGAACTTGTCCAAGGAAATTGCTGTTGAAACCATAATCAAAGCCAGTACCCTCCAGTGGAGGAACAAATGGACGACGATGCATCAGTCTTTCTCTGAGATCATTAACTATCTGTAACCATACACAATTTATATATTAAATAGTTTTTTTGTGATTTACAAATAGATCTTCTCTTATTACCTAATATATTAAGTAATAAACTTACCACATCACTAAATTCAATTTTAAAAGGTCTTATGGAAACATCTTTCTGTTGATCAATTGGGTATGGACCCCACCAGTTGTTTACATCATATTTAGGTAAGTCTGGAGGTGTGGTGACTACTTTGTATACATAGAAAGCTAATAATCCACCTAAGATAGCAAAGACAAATAACAGTTTTCCAACCTGTAAAATTGAAATTGTTAGAAACGATAACTTGGGAAGGTTTGTAATATGCCAAGATTAGGTTGTTTATTAAAATTTAATAAAACTTACAGATCCAGACGATGTGGATTTTGAGATAGTATTTGGGCCTTTGTATTCTATTTGGCTTTTATTTGCTGGTTTTTTAGCCATTATGGATAACACGCCACTCGACTAACTTTTTACAATTTAGCCGATGAAAAAAAAAACGCCGGACCGATAGAAGTTCAGCAAACTTCAAAAGTTCTAAGATTACCACATAGTGTAGGAGAATGTTCGAAAATGTTTTTATCTAGAGTTCAAAAGTTATCATGATTTTATTTTAGTATATTTTATTCAAAATAATTACAAATAACTTCTTCTTTTTAATTGATGGCGTTGCCCTTGACAAATTGTTTTTAATGTACAAAAACATAAAGCCGACGAGTACATCTGTCAATTTTAATGTCTAGGAATGCTACGATACCCCCTAGGTATAGATACTTTTACTCGATAACATATCGTTTACGTGGAATCATTACCAATTCGTTATCGAATAAAAAGTATCGATACTTAGTTGTATCAAATAGTTTTAATTAGCTTCACCATCGTCGTCATTTTCATAGCAGATTTGATACTGTTGATTGCCAATAGCAATTCTCTGTTAATGTAAGAAAGAGAAGCAGGTCCAGGCATACAAAGTGATGCATATAGTTATTCAAAATTTTGTTGGAAGTGACCTCTGTAGATAGATCTCTAACTACATAAAATTAGTAATAGACGTAAACAATGCTTCATCATACGACAGAGACGCCAGCCCTTTGGGACTACTGATGATGAGACAGACTTTAGAAACTTTACCACTGAGTAAACAGTCATATGCACAAGTGTTTTTTTTTTTTATTTTCATCAGTGAGTGACCAACTAAGTACCGATACAAATACATACATTCGATACTGATTGTTATTCGGTGCTAAAGTATTGATACCAGAGTACTTGGTATTGAAAGAAAAAGATCGAGTAAGTACTTCCATTTACTCGTATCGTTTCCCCTACAATAATAATATTTATTTATTTGCGAAAATATGGTTACAAGGTAGTTTTACAATTTTAGACCAGCATATTTTATCGTCAAGATGATGTGCAAATATTAAAGTCAATATACAATAAATTGCCTGATTTCTATTATAATCATGCATGACTTAACTAGCGATAGCAAGAGTTAAGATATTATTTTTCACCCGATTCGATACGCCCAATTAAATAAATGGTTTTAAAAAAAGAATATCAGTATATCTGACGCCCAGTGCTTTTTTTCCTTTTGCTGAAAGTATTGTTGTTGTGCTGGAATCTATTTGTGGATTATTATAAATAATGGTGTGCGGAATCGATTACCATTAATAGATTAATCGATTTTTTCAAATAAACAGTTGATATTAAATATGATTTCATAATCGAAGATTAATCATCGATTATTTCTTAAAATTTTAACAATAGGAATAGTTTAAAACGTTAGTATAGTACCTACTTACTTTACTTCGATGGCTCAACAACCCATAGCGGATCGCGAGTGTGAATATTATTATTAGATGATATTTACTTATTATGGCAAACCCGGAATACTCCCACGAACAAATAAGTAACTTTACTCTTTTGTCGGGGAACTCCCGATGAATGAATGAACGGATCTTACAGTTTTATTTTGATAAAAACAAATTAACCGTTTTTTTACTCAATGCACATGTATACGCGGTACATACCAAAATAATATTCTTTACATTTTTGTCTGTCTGTTTGTTCCGGCTTAACTCTGAAACGATTAGACCAATTTTGACGGGACTTTCACTGGCAGATAGCTTATGTAATAAGGAATTACTACCCGCTATTTCGTTTGCGAGGAAAGTTCCTCGCAAACGAAATCGCGGGTATAGCTAGTTTAATTTTATAAATTTTGCATGCACAATGCTGGTATATGTAGTAAACATTGTCTTAAAATTATTTTTTTAACTATTTTTCATTAACTTGGATGGCTTTAAAATACGGTGGAATTAATCTGAAATCATTAATAAACTTTTGGGGTAAAAATATTTAATAATCGTTGTCATGAATCGATTATGAGTAATACTATAATCGATTTGTATAATAATCGAATCGGCACATCATTAGTTATAAACTGTAATTTGTATAAACGTGTATTTTTTATAAACTTCCCAGATAGCAATTTAAACTTATTTCTGATTTGCAACAACTTTGATACATCAAAAAAGAAGACTTGATTCAAGTATGCCATGATAACAGCAGCAACTTTAAATCAAACTTTCTAGTTTCAGTGTGACAATCTTGCATTACCTGACGTATCAAAGGTAATGCAAGTGTACCTAGGAAAACTATTATTACTATTTTTTTTTTTTTTTCGGTTCTCAACCTTATGGGCTCGGAACCACCTTCCCATCAACGGAGGAAGGAGGCGGTGAATCCTTCATTGGATACCAACACAGCCGGCTGTGAGGGTTATGTCAGACTCCTACTGACTAAACACCGCCTTGGACTAATGGTTACATACCCGGAGGCAACGAACCTTCAACCGGAGCGACCGCCCCCCCTCAAGGGGGGGGGGGGCGGCGCAGACGTCCCTAAACACTTACATGAATAGTGACGTCGAGATGTTAGCCGTTAACCCCGGGGGGCTCGGCACATCGGATTGAGGAGTACAGCTGACTCCCTGAAGGGGAACGATCAGCCGGATCGGACGGGGGTGTGACCTGAAGGGTCGGCGTGTGGAGGGCAGGGAGGGGAGCATCGCATACCACCAGAAGGGTGCTATTAGATACCCGTAACAATTTGTGTGGCCTGCATCCTGAAGGGATGTCAGGTCGAGAGGGCAGAGAGGGTTGACCTGAAGGGTCAGTATGATGGGGGTGGATTGGCCTATTGGGTTTGGGAGACCTATCATGTTGTTAGTGCTTTGATAAGGCACTTAGTAACGCTTCGTGTTCACACAGCGCCAGAAGGCGTTCCTGTGTGGACGAAGCGCGGCGGAGCTTAGCCGCTAGGGTGGTGATTTCATCTATGTCGATTCCACGAATCAAGTTGAGGACTAGATTTATGTCATCGGCTATAGATGAAGGAACAGGAGCGGTTTTGGGAGGTGGGACGGAAGCCTTTGGTGAAGGCTTCGTCTGGGAGGGTTTCGGAGGGGGACCCCATACCGGTTGTGAAGCCGGTTTGGGGGCGGAGTGGTTCGCCTTTGGTAAGGCGGGGAAGTTCGCCGCAGTGGGCGGGGGGGGGGGGGGGCTTTAGGCGCTTTGTTGACCACCGGGCCCTTAGCCTTCTTCTTAGAAGAGGGTTTGGGCTTCGGCGCTCGTGGGCAACCTTTATAGTTGGCTGTGTGGCCGATTTGGCCACACAGTACACAGGCCGGAGGGGTGAGAGTGTCTCGGGTTCGAGAGCACTCCTTTGTAGGATGTGACTCGAGGCACTTTACGCACCTCGGAGTCGCGGAGCAGTTAGCCGCCGCATGCCCGTAAAGTTGGCATCGGTGGCACTGTCCCGGAGTACCGCGTCGGTGAGGGGGTTCTACTTTAACCCCAGTAAGGCCGCAGACCCTAAGGTCTTTAGTCTTAAAAATGTCACGAGCGTTTGGGACATTTGGGATGATGAGTAGAGCCAGTGGGAAAGGCCTGCCGGCTCTACTGTACATCTTGTGTACGGATTCTACAGGGAATCCCTGTTCGTTTAGATCCTTATGGATCAGGTCGGTGGCGAGCTCGTACGGAACATTTCTCAGAACCGCACGAACTTTGCGCTCTTCTGGGAGAGCGTAGGTATGATAACCCACCTTGTGGTGGGTTAGGAGTCTAGTGAGGGCTTTATAGTCCTCACTAGTGGGTGTTTCCACCCGGATGGCTACACCCATGTTTTTGGCATGGGTGTAGTTGATCTTGTTTTGTGTGCAGAGATTCGAGACCTCTGCCCACCTTGATTTGTCCCGTATAAATACGGGAGGCGGAGGTTTGGGTTTACCCGGCTGCGGATTGCATTTATTATGCGGCCGCAGCGGGGTGAAGGAGGGAGTAATGCTAGGAGTATTCTCCCGAGTGGCTTTCTTGCCGGTATTGCCTCTGGTAAGGTTTGGGCCGAGGGAGGTTTTCTCGGCGGTATTGCTTACCGAATTATTACTACTAAACAGCATATTACTTATACAATCTAACAATATAAACTGATACCGTGATGTATTACATGAACAGCGCCATCTAGTTTGCAGACTTAGAACTAATCGGGCACCTATGAACATGATGGGTGTGTTACAAATAAGTATATTTCTCATAACAACATTCAAAAATATTTTCGCAAACTTATACATATTTAACGTAACAATATTGCAGCGACATTGTTACAAACTTGCTTCATATATTTGACGCAGCAATTAAGAATCAAAGAAAAATCAAAATTTCCCCAAGTTAGCATGTTATCTGGGTTCGTTTTTGTGTTGCGTTCAGTAATTTTTGCTATACATATTTGGTAGGATATATGAGCCAATATTTTGTAAGCACAAACAACATTATATATTAATATGCATATATAGGACTACCTGTAACTCGCGGCTTCGCCCACGTGGTCCGAGGGAACTGTGTGCACACTGGCCTGCTATAAAATTTAAAATGATTCCAAACATAACAAAAAAGTATCAAAGTGGATCAATTTCGTAATTCATGATTATTGCGTAACTTTCACCGTTTACGATGCGCATGCAAGGAAAGCTTTAAAAAAGTAAAATATTATATTCTCCTGCTTCTGCAACATTTTTCATTGCTGCTTCACTTCTATAAGCCATAGCGCGATGTTATATAGCCTAAGCCTTTCTCGATAAATGGACAATTCAAAATAAAAAAAATAATCGATACGTTCCAGTAGTTCCTGAGATTATAGAGTTCATTTAAACAAACTTTTCAGCTTTATCATTGATATAAAAGATATCATCTATACCAAAACGTCATATAGATTACTTTTTAGAAAAAAGAAATAGATATGCTACTATATAGATGTCTAAACAAATTTCCTAAAAAAATATGATTGTAATGCGACTTTAATATTACAATGCTGGAAAATAATCAAAACACTACCACATTACGTGACATTCTTATGAAATATAACCTAAATTTGGAAATAACGGT